CAGACCGGGGCCCCCGCCCGCCGCCGTGCCCGGGACCCCAGACCCCAGGGCCCGCCCCGGACCCCGAAGCTCCGCAGTCTCCAGCTCTCCCAGCATTTTCGGAGACCCCAGCCCCCACCGGGCCCCTCTGACCCCGACAGCATTCCGGACTCTGGACCCCCCCCCCCAGGTCCCCCGCTGGACTCTCAAGGACTCGGAGGACCGCGGCGGATCCAGGACAGAGCCCGCACCCTCTGTTGCATTAACTCCCCACCCCTCGGCCTCCTCGGAACACCCTGTCCTGCGGCGCCGCCACCGCTCCTGGGTGGGGCTTCGCTGCAACCTGCCCTTTAGGCCCCCGGTCCCCACCCCAGCACCGTCAAGTTCTCTCCACCAGTGGTCTCTGTCACCTGTCCGGAAGCTTCTGTCCCTTCCTTTGAGGTCTGGGGAGCATCCAGGAACGTATTCATTCCCGAGGTTTGTAACAACAATGGACGAAGTAGAAACAGATAACCAGTCACCGAGGAGCATTCACATTAATTAATTAATTAGTTAATTAACTTTTGGAGACAGGGTCTCACGGTATAGCCCAGGCTGGCCTTGAACTCCATCCTCCTGCCTCAGCCTTGCTAGTGTTTATTAAGGACCACTTTGTAACCGAACAGGGGGTGTGCTTGGGGATCCCCAAGTGCCGTGTTTATTGTCGCAGAGGCCAGAGCGGGCAGGTTTAACTTTTTTTTTTTTGTCTTTTTCCTTTTTATCGGTACCGGGGATCAAACTCAGGACTGCCTGCTTGCAAGGCAGGCGCTTATGCCGCTGAGCTAAACCTCCAGCCCCTAGCGTTTAACTTTTAATGCTGCTGAGGCGATCACAAGAGTGGCGGGAGGCCCGTAGTTGGGCAGATGGGCCCCTTGAGCTCATCCTCTGTGGGCTTTGACTTTGCTTTCTTAGAACTAGTCCGTGCCCCCCCCCCAGTTGGGGGAGGGTCTGCCACCCACAGGACTGAGGCAGAGTGTGGTGGTTGAGGACTTTATTCCAGGGCTTATGCTGATGGAGAGACAACGCCCCTGGGAGATGGGTGATCACAAGGGATAGGCTGGTCGCCCAATGGTGCACCTCTGATCCTCATCCAGGATGCCCTGCAGGCCTGCAGGTCTTAAGGACCAAGGTCATCCTTTCCTCTTGTCATTGACGGGCTTGCCTGGAGCAGTTCTTGACTGTGGCACAGTGGATGGCCCCAGGGTGGGCGTGGAGAGAAGGCAAAGTTACCTGACTGTCGTGGAAGACCGAAGTCAAGTGAGGAGCGGGCACAAGCCCTGGTCTCTGCGCTGTCTCCAGTGACTAGGATGTGGGCTGTGCATGCAGGTCATGTGTGGGTTGAGCGCAGCTGGGGTGGGGCTTAAGGAGGGCAGGTTGGTGAAAGCCCAGAGCAGAGCCTCCTCCTGCAGGGTGGGTCGATGTTGTGTTGCCACCATTCCTGAGAGGGTAGGGCCACCAGTGTGAGGAAGGGACAGTGGGGAAAGCACGTGATGCTCCAGGAGGAAGATGGCCTGTGCTTGGTGGGGAGTGGGAGGGCCGTGTCCTGTAGCCCTAGTGGATGAGACGTGCTTGTGCAGACTGCAGGGTTGGGGATGGTGTGGTGGTAAACGGTCCGAGAGCCACACCAGGACCTGGGCACTGGCTTCTGAATGGTCACCCTGGTCTTGGAGGAAGCAAGACTATGAGAGGTGACCACGGCTTGCAGTGCGTCTGCAGGCCACCAAGGAAGTGCATGTGGGGCAGCATAGAGAGCTGCTAGGTGGCGCTCCGCCAGGTGTTGCCGGGCTGTCCGTCCCAAGGAAGTCTCAAGGCTCGGGGTATCCTATGAGCAGAGGGTTTTCCTTGGGGAGCGAGAGGAGCCTGGTGAGCCCTGTGTGGTGGAGCTTCCTGTGATGCGGGCAGCAGCCACAGGTGACCGGCATGACTGGACTGGAGTTTTGTTTTAATGAATGAATGAGTCCTGGGAAGGCCGCCCCATCATTCCTGGGGTGTCGTGGGAGGCAAGCTGCTCCGAGCTTTGTTTTGGTTTGTTTGTTTGAGACCGGTCTCGCTTTGCAGCCCAGGTTGGCCTGGAGCTTGTAGGAACCCTCCTGCCTCCGCCTTCCGAGCCTGTGCTGGAATTACAGGCACCACCTTGCCTGTCTCAGGATTTGTCCTTTGAAATGTTCTGGCGTAAGGCTTCCACCCTGGGAGGTGCTGCTGCTGTTCCTTTTCACATGGAATGGGACCAGAGGCTCAGGATGAGTGGCCTGGGTGTGACCTGGGTGTGACCCGGGACAGTGCTGCTTCCTGCTCCCTCCCCCAGGAGCCGGCAGGAAGAAGGTCCTGACGCACCATTTCCTGGTTCAGCCTGCTCACCTGCTCCCTGCTGAAGGTAACGTGTCAGTCGCATGGCGGCCAGCAGAGACCAGGCAGAAAATGCTTGTGAGTTGCTGGCCTCTCCCAGGCCTCCTGAGGGGCAGCCAGTGGTTGCTGGCAGCGTTTCTGAGAGGGAACGGGGTGAGACTGGGGAGAAACCCCAGGGCAGCCAGGCTGTGGGCCTGCTGCGTGCGCAGGTATGGTAGGGAGGTGGCGGCTGACACAGAGCTTTGGCGTCACAGTGGACCCAGTCAGTGCCAGGAGAGCAGCAGGAGTCTGGGACACGAGCCAGGAGTGAGTTTATAGCCCTCAGTTCCCCTTGGGGGACACTGACCAGGTCATCACCCCTCAAGAGTCTCAGTTTTCACTTCTGGAAAAAAGGGGGAGTATTTGGTGTCACGAAGCTTTAAGATCTTTCCAGCTCAAAAGTTGAGTTTCTTCAGGTTATTTTCTAGGCTCTCTCTCTGAGACAGGGTCTCCCTGTGTACCCCAGGGTGGCCTTGAAATGTGGTGATCCTTCCGCCTCAGCTTTCCAAATCCTGGGATTCAAGCCTAGAACATGTCTTCTGGGTCCTCGGGCTGGATACATGCCAGCAGTCCAGTGCACGCTGGCCTCTGTGCTTTCCTGTTACTGAGCTATCAGTAATCAGGGAGGCTTCTTCAGCTGCATGATGTGTCGCATCTGAGGGGCAGACTGTAAACTGTCCATGCTTCAGTGACCACAGGTCTCGGGCCGCCCAGGCAGACGTGTTTGCCAGTCGGGGCTGTTGGCCTTTGAAGGGGCTAGGAGTCGTCCTGGACGGGGCGGGGCGGGGCTGGGGGAAGGTGGACGGCGCAGTGCGGTGCCCGGGAGCTGTTGAGGCTGCACAGCCGCAGTGGTTAACACTGGCTTTCCTTTTTTTCCCCCTGAGGTGCTGGTGATGCCACCCAGGGCTTTACCCCGAGTGGCATCCCCGCCCCTTAAGGTTTTTTGGCTTTTTGTGACCTTTAGCTTTCTTGCTGCTTAGCTGGTTCCCCAGTTTACACCCCTATGCCACGCAGGTCCGTTGGGGGGCACGTTTGATCTTTACAAAATGGGCAGGTTTTCTCTTTGTACTTAATTCAGCTGAATAACGATTGGTCGAGTCAGATGTGTTCACATTAAGGGTCCGTGTTTTCTGCAAATGGGAGAAGGCGGTTCATCCTGAAGCCCCTTGTCATCCGAGACGGCTGGTTAGGTGTTACCAGCACCACTGGCTCGGTCACAGCCTTGTCGCTGTGGCTCTGCACACAGGGTGAGGTCTCCAGCTGCTGCTCTCATCGCGCTCTCTGTGGCTGGCCACCTGGGCGAGTAGTGGCTCTCAGCTGGAGGGAAACTGAGCTTGGGAGAGGTGACCTGGCGTGGGTGTGGCATCCTCCCCTGCCTCAGATCTGTTTGCTCTGCCAGGTCCCAGTGTGGCTGTGGTGCCTGAGCCTGGCGACTGTGGCTCTGGAAGCTCACGTGTTTGGTTTCTGTCAGGTGTGGCCTCCTGGAAGGGCATGGCCGGCCACAGGGTCCACCTGGGTGAGGGGGATTAGGTTTGGGGTGTCTGAACCTGCTGTGTCCTGTGTGGCACGGATCTGTGCCATTCCGTGTGGTGACTTCACTAACAACAGCCGTGGTGGCAGTAGTGATACTTATGGTCATTGCCTAGGAGCCTCTGAGCCCTTGCCTGGGAGTCTGCACATTCCATGGCTGCGGGGCGTGTGGTGGCCATGCCCCCCCCTCCCCCCACCTGGGAGCATCTGTCCGCTGCCCTCTGCACGGTGACAGGAGCTGGGCAGCCTGCAGGGCTTCTTCCTGCTGCTTATGCTGTGTGAATCCCGTGCGCCCCCATCTGCTTCTCATTGATTATCTTTCAGTACTGGGTCTTCTCACTGACCTGTGTCCCCACTGCATTTTTGGTTTTGAGAAAGGGTCTCACTAAGTTGCCAGGCTGGGTTTGAACTTGGGCTCCTCCTGCTTCACCTCCCTGAATGCTGGAATTTCAGACCTGTGTTTTTTTGAGACAGGGCCTTGCTGAAGTGCCCAGCCTGGCCTCAGACTTGCAATCCTCCTGCCTTGGCCTCCTTGGTGTTTTTTTGTCTTTTTGAGACAGGGTCTCACTATGTAGTTCAGGCTGGTCTTGGGCTCACTCTGTAGCCCAAGCTGGTCTTGAACTCACAGCGATCCTCCTGCCTCAGCCTCCTGAGTGCCAGGATTACAGGTTGTGCCACCACACTGACACCTGCCTTAGCCTCTTCAGCTGGAATGGCAGGTATGTGTCATCATTCCTAGCTTCTAATTAATTTATAGGAAGAGACTGACATTTGCAAAACATTGTTTTAAGGGTCCTTCCCTTGAGATTTTATCATTCACAGTGCTCATTAAGTGAAATCGTAGCTCAGAATCAAAGGTGAATACTAGGATTTTTTAATGTCACTTTTTAAGAAAAAGTTAAATCTTTTTTTCCTTTCATAGCAGGAATAGAACTCAGGGCCTCGCGCTTGCCAGGCAGGCGCTGTTCTCAGCATTGTATCCCACTCTGGACACTCAGCATTGGTGGCAGCCCCTGAATCTTTCAGGCCCTCTGGCACGGGGTCCCACTGTGGTCCCCTGTGTGGAGCAGCAGTGGCAGCTCGCTGTTGCTCAGCACCAGGGTCTCCATGCCGGCCTGCATTAGGCCCCCACGCAGGTCGGGCTGGCTGTCAGCCTGGGTCCTGGTGGCAGAGCAGTCCTGTGGCGAAGGACTGTGGCAGTGTCTGAGGGTGAGGTGCAGGAGGCCTGGTGAGGTGGACGGGGCCATTAGCAGCTGCCACAGCAGGCGAGTGATGGGGGTTTGCTTCGCTAGCTGAATGCAAGTGTGCCCCCGTTGCAGTTTATCACGTTGGAACTAGCCCCTGTTCCATGAGTGTTTATTTAGTGCTGGGTGCCGAGGGTAGGGGCAGAATAAGGCAGTGTCCAGCCGGTACGCAGCTGGTTTACACAGTGTTCTAAGCCGGAGGTACGCCACTTACCCTTTTGTTAGAGGCTTTGGATAAAAGGGACAGGAACCCCACATAAGGCTGTATTGGGGCTGATTTTTTTAGAAAACACTGGCAGTTCCTTGTGATTCAGTGGGTTGCTGCGATGGCTTGGCTTTGGGCCATAGACTGGTGACGGCACAGTCACCAGGGAAACCAGAGATGCAGTGTGTGAAAGGCGCCCAGGGGTTTGTTCCTGTAGTCTGGATTCCCATTGGCTTGGAGGCGTGGTGTGGACGGGCGCTGGTGGCAGAGGCCGGGTGGGCCTGGCTGTGCAGATCGCCCAGCCGTGGCCTGCGGTGGAACACCGGGGAGGCTTTGGGTCATCGCCAGGCCCTGTGAGGTCTGGCTCTGGTCTGCATGCTGCTGCACAGCAGGAAATGAGGTAATGTCTTTACACACAGCCTGCGCACTGTAAAGGCCTAATATGGGCAGCTCCAAGGCTCACCCTGCTGGTCGCCGGGCCGAGTGCTGCTGTCGGGGTCCCTCCTCTGCTGGCTGCTTTGACCCCAGAGGTCCATGACGACAGCCTCAGCTCTGCACCTGTACCTGCACCGTCGCCTGTCGCCTCCGTGGGGTTGGGAGTTGGGTTGGAAGCCTTGTGACTGTTGGAAGCCCCTCGGAGAACCGCCGGTCAGGCCTGGGGGCGGCACTGAGGCCAGCAGGACCTGCCCTGCCCTCCGCTCACCGGTGGCCTCTGGGGCAGCTGGGAGGTCCATAGGCAGTACGGTCCCTGGGGGAGCTCACAGGGCGCTTCCTGGCGTGTGGAGCACAGCCTGCTCAGGTGTAATTCGCTTGTGCCCTTTTGTAAGTGTGTAAGTTCAGTATTTACGCTTCAGATTTGTAACTGCAATCCATATATATTTGGAAAAACAAAGCAGTTGAAGACTCCGAAGGGAACTGGAGCCGGGCCTTGCTATAGAGTCCGCCTGGGCTGGCATTCGTGCACTTGCTCCCTGGCCTCCTGGGGCTGGAGTTACAGGCGTGTGCCAGCAGGCCTGAGTTGGACCGAGATTACATGCTTTTGGTTCTGGGGATTAAACCCGGGGCCTTCACATTGGCCCCCCCACTGCCGCCTTTATTTTGAGACAGGGGCTTACTAAGTTGCTCAGACTGGACTTGAATTCATAATCCTCTTCCTCAGCCTCCCGGTGTGCTCGGGTTACAGGCCTGTGGCACTGTGCTCCGACAGAACTGCAGGCGACATGTACCAGCTCCGTGACGAATGCAGTCATTCGGTACTGCAGACAGTAGCGATGAGAGTAAAAAGTTTAAAGAGCTCTGTCTGTGGTAACCGTCATCTGTCTCGGCCTCCTGCACACTTCCCGGTCGGATTTAGAAAGCAAAGGAGCTGCCGAGCTGCTGGGCCCGAGTTCCTGACTTCCTTGCTTCTTAGGGTGGGGTTCAGTGGGGGGCGAGGCCTGGCTCCGGGAAGCCCAGCGCTGCAGAGCCCTGCCGCTTCCCCAGGACCCTGGCTGTGTGCCCCTCCTGGGAGCAGGGCTTGGGATGGGTCCACGGGTGCCCATGGCAGCGTCCAATGCCTGGGAGCCCGCCGGAATCTCTGCACTTGTCCGTCCTTCCTGTCCACCGAGCCCCTGACCGAGCCGAGGAGCAGTGCGGGATTAGCAGTGTGGTTTAGGAGCCGTCCTGGGGTTGTCTTCAGGCTGGAGGTGAACTGGAGTCCCCTGTCTCAGCCTCCTGAGTTGGGGTGTATGCTTTTTGGATATATTTTTCAAGTATTCTAATTTAATGGAGAACTGAGGCCTTTAATTCTAGACTTAATTTTCTTACAGGACACTAATAAAACCTTTGGGTCCAGGCACGGTGACATAGAGCTGTAATCCCAGGGGTGGGAAGCTGAGGCAGGAGGATGGCTGGGGATGTAGCTTAGTTTGAAATCCCGGGTTCATCTCCATTATTATGTACACATACACACCCCAAGCATTTATCTGAAAACAACACCTAGTTGTTTCTGACTCCTGTTTTCTCTTTAGGATTCACAGATGGATTCAGAAGAAAAATCCGTAAATAAAAGTGAACAGAAATCAAGGTAATCTCACATCTACCTCCCGGTGGGTGTTTTGATCTGTTGGGGGTCACAAAGACAAGTGAAGTCAGAATTGGGGCTGGCTGAGCCCCTGGCCTGGCCTGGTACATGGAGGCTCGAGGGGAGCTGGAGGCAAGCAGCCTGCAGTGGCCAGGTCAGAGTGAGGGGGTCCCAGGAGGCAGCCAGCAGGGACCCTGCGCTGTGGGAGCTGAGAGGGGGCGAGGGAGGCCCAGCCACCCACGGAGTGCCTGCCTGGAGCGGGAGATGCGGACTCTGTGCTGCATGTGGACTCTGTGCTGCGGGGGAGAACGTCGCAGCCGTTTCCTGGCCCGGGTTTGCAGAGCATCTGTGCTGATTCCTGTTCTCTCCTCCCTATGCTGGAGCAGAAAGTTTTTAAAAAGCCTTGTCCGGAAGCAGCCCCAGGAGCTGCTGCTGGTCATCGGGACAGGTGTGAGTGCGGCGGTGGCCCCGGGCATCCCGGCCCTGTGCTCGTGGCGCAGCTGCATTGAGGCGGTCATCGAGGCTGCGGAGCAGCTGGAGGTGCTGCACCCTGGGGACGTTGCTGAGTTCCGGAGGAAGGTGGTAAAGGACCGGGACCTGCTGGTGGTGGCCCACGATCTGATCCGCAAGATGTCACCTGTGAGTTTCGGAGGACTTGAGTGCGCATGGGGCAGCTGGGGTCCGTACGAGGCTGGGAGGGTGCGTGGAGTTGGGCTGATGAGCCCCAGAATGTTGTCTTCCCGCCATGAAATCAGGAGGCCCTGAGCAGGGCACAGTGGACAGCGCCCCTGTGCAGGGCTCAGGGTGCTGCCCCACATGTGCTGGGGTGAGCGTGGCATGTGTCAGCAGGCCAGCCTGGTCCCTTCAGGTGGTAGCTGCAGCACGTGCCTGCCCCCAGCCATGACATGTGTCCTCGCTGGCCCTCAAAGGACAGAGTATGGACCCACCACAGGAAGAGGGGAGCACCCAGCAGGCAGGTGGCCTGCTCAGGGCAGCGGTGGGGACCCTGTGGCACAAGTGGGCAGCCCTAAGCAGTTCGCCATCCCTGCCCTTGGAGATGTTCTCACATTTGCCAACCTGTGTCGGGAGCACTTAGGACGTGGGTGGTTCACAGGCTTGGGGACAGGCTGGAGGGCTGGGGACTCCTTGGGCAGTTGCAGAGGCCCGAGCGATCAGGGTGAGTAGGTGCCACCCCAGAGAGGCGAGGCTGAGGGGTGCACAGTGTGTGTGGGCTGCGGCGTGTGGCCTGGGTCAGAGGCTCTGGGAAGACCTGGCCCTGGTCCTGCTGAGGGCCGGGGACAGTGGGGACAGAGGTGGGACGGGAAGTAGGTACAAGAGCAGAGTGGACCATGCTCTTGGCCTTGGAGTCTCCTGAGCGAAGACAGAGTGGCTGGGGAGACCGAGCCCGGGGCCATCTGTCCTCCCGGCCTCCCGAGGGTGTGGGCAGCGCACCTCGGGGCCCTACTGTCACAAACTCCGCAGTGCTGCTGGCCCTTGGCACCCGCATGCGTGTCGTGACTCTGCCCCTCTCCCACAGCGCACCGGCGACACGAAGCCCAACTTCTTCCAGGACTGCCTGATGGAGGTGTTCGACAGCCTGGAGCAGCACATCCAGAGCCCGCTGGTGCTGCAGTCCATCCTCGGCCTCATGGACCGGGGCACCATGGTGCTCACCACCAACTACGACAACCTGCTGGAGCTCTTCGGGCAGCAGCAGAACCGGCCTATGGAGTCGCTGGACCTGAAGGACAAGACCAAGGTGGGCGGGCCCCCAGCGTAACTTGTGGTGAGGAAGGTCCCTGAGGGCCCCAGGGAAGCCTCCTGCCCCCATCCCGACGGGCGACGTGGGTGACAGATAGGTATCGAGGAGGAGCCAGAGAGCCCAGCCCTGGTGCGGTGGCTCTGTTTATTTACGTCTTTTTTTGGTGGCCCTGAGGACTGAACCCAGAGCCTTCGCACCGGACTGTACCCCAGCCCTTCGTTGTTCACTTAGAGACTCACTGGGTCCCTGGCTTGCCCCCGCTGCGCCCAGCCGTGCGGCGCTCCTGCCTCGGCCTCCGGAGTGCTGGCTGACGACAGGTGTGCGCCCGTGGCTGCTCGGATGTCTTTCCACGCCCCCAGCATTCTCCAACGGTTCTGTAATCCAGCACTCAGGAGGCTGAGGCAGGAGAAGCGCCACAAGTTCCAGGCCCGCCTGGGCTACGCAGTGAGCCTAAGGGCAGCCCGAACTACAGAGCAAGACCCCGTTTCAAGAAACAAAGCAGGAGAGACCAAATTCAGATTGCAGTTTATGCAAAGATTTTAAATTTTAATTTTCCCCTTAATATTATACTGAGCATGTTCCTGTCACTAAGCTGTTCTCAAAGGTGCGACTTCAATGGCAGTAGGATTCTACGACTAAAAGCCAGTCGCTCCCCTCCCTCCGTGCTTGTGTGTTCACTGACCTTACATGCCGTGGAAGCCTCCACCTCTGTGCTGCCGTCTTTGGGGGTAAACTCCTAGCAGTGCTCCGGCCTGAGGGGATGCTATGTGAGAGACCGCTGCCGCTCCCCAGGATCAGCGGCTGCACCCACAGCTGCGGACGGGAGCGCCCACTTCCCATCTCCTGGCCCGCGCGCGGTGGCATTAAAACAGCAAAGTATTCTGCTAGGTGTGGTGGCACACGCTTGTTACCCAGCACTCGAAGGCTGAGGCAGGAGGAGTGCCACAAATTCAAGGCCAGCATGGGCTCCATAGTGAGACTCTGTCTCAGAAGGAAAAAGGCCGAATGCCCGCCACCCACTGGGTAGGCAGAAACTTGAAACCCTGCTTTTTATTACTGCCTTGAGCACATCTCACCCCATGGGTGATTTTGTTTGTGTCCTTTGTGCATTTACTTATTTTCTTGCTGTTTTTACCACGGGTGCTGTCACTTAGTGCAGAGTGGCCTTGGTCCCAGTGGCTGGCGAGGTGACATGCATGGGACTGGGCCTGGCAGGAGCCGGACGGGGACTGCGGCCAGTGTCCCTGTGTGTGTCGCCACCACCAGCCATGGACAGAGATGCCCTGTGCTCCTCTGCCTGTCCCTGTCCCCCAGCAGGCTTCAGAGCCCCATGATGAGTGCCACGGCCACACATGTCATGAGTTGGAATGGGCGCAGCTGGCAGTGCCAAATGCTCTTCTGTCCTGTGTGCCCCACCTCGGTGTGACAGCGGCACTTGGGCAGGAGACGGATGGGAAGGCTGCATGTGGCTCAGTGGCCTCCCGCCGTCCCCATCCTGTCCTTGGCAGTGCTGTGCTGGGAGTCCCGGCGCCCTTAAGGGCTGGGAAGGTGCCCTTGACTCGGAGGTCGCTGTCTCTCCCCTGGGCGGGCTGTGTCAGGCTGTGGCCGCCATCCGCTCCCACATCCATGGAGTAACACCAGGCCGTGTCTTCCGCTCGGCTCGCATCGCTAGGTCCTGCAGTGGGCGCGTGGCCACATCAAGTATGGAGTGCTCCACATCCACGGCTTGTACACAGATCCCTGCGGGATGGTGCTGGACCCGTCCGGCTACAAAGACGTCACGCAGGACCCCGAGGTCATGGTAAGGTCCCTCCTCACGCCGCCCTGCTGCCTCTGCGTCTGCTGGGGAGTCTGCGAGGTCTCCTGGTCCTTGGGTTGGGGACAGGGCTGAGTGGCCTGCACTGCCGTGTCCCTGCCCAGGTGCCTGCATGTGGAATGCACCTGGATCACTGCCTGCCCTCCCGCCCACCTGCATGCGGCAATCCTCCCTCAGGGTGCCAGTGGCTCTTCCACTTCCAAAGCTGGTGTGGCACCGTCCTGTCCTGGGGCTTCCTTGCCGCCTCCCAGGATGGATCATGTCACAGCTGCAGAGCAGCTCCTCCGCTGCTGCTGGTGGTGTGGGGGTGGGCAGGGAGCCCCCCGAGATGTGTGCACACTGAATCCTCTGTCTGCTGCTCACTGGAGCTCGCCCTCTGCTCCCCTGTGCCGCCCCTGGGTCACCGTCACCACTGCCCTCTGTCCCTAATCCTGGGCAGCTGCTGACGGGTGCCAGGCCCACCTGCTAGGGGCTGCATGTTACCCAGCTTGTTACCCAGCACTGGAGCCCGGTTAGGTGCTTGGTTGGGCCTGAGGGCCACACCTCCTTCCCAGCCCCCTCCTGGGGGCCCCTGAGGCTGGTGGGAGCAGGGCAGGGCAGCGCCTGCTCCCTCACCCTCACCCCCACCCTCACCCCTCCCGGCGCCCCAGGAAGTCCTGCAGAACCTGTACCGCACCAAGTCCTTCCTGTTCGTGGGCTGTGGGGAGACCCTGCGCGACCAGATATTCCAGGCGCTCTTCCTCTACTCGGTGCCCAACAAGGTGGACCTGGAGCACTACATGCTGGTGCTCAAGGACAACGAGGACCACTTCTACAAGCACCAGGCTGACATGCTGCTGCACGGCATCAAGGTCGTGTCCTACGGGGACCGATTCGACCTCTTCCCGGGGTACCTGCAGGACCTCGCCACCCAGATCTGCAGGCAGCGCAGTCCAGGTGCGAGGTCCACCCAAAGGTGATCTCCAGGCTCACCCACACTGCCCGGTCGCCTTGCGTTCCTCGTTTGGTGGTTACTGCTTCTGTGTCCCGTGCGTTCAGAAGGCTGGCCGCACGGTGTGACAGGAGTGGAATCAAGAACTTAGTGTTGCTTTGCTTCGCTTGTGGGATAGCCTTGCTGTGCAGTACACACGGGCCTCGAACTTGCAGAGATCCTCCTGTCTCAGCCTTTCAACTGTGGAGAGGACAGATGTGCACACCACACCTGGCACACACAGGCGGACACGTCTGTTGTTGTGGGCTATCTTACAATGGAAGGAGCCCCGCAGGCTGGTTGTGTCAGTCGTGACTTCTGGCACAGATCTCTCATTACTTTGACTGTGTCGCTGTGTCTCCAGAGTTAGGGTGCGGAGTGCAGGGTAATCTCTGGGGGTGGATCTGCTGTGTCCCTTGTTCCCAGTTACACACCCTGTCCTTCCCTGAGGGCTGTTTGTCTGCCAGGAGTGACCAGAAGAGGTGAGGACTGTGCAGGCCCAGATGTCAGGATGGCGGGCATTGATGGCCTTGAGTTCAGGGTCTTGAAACACAGATGCCAGCAGGCTTGGGAGGTTGGGCCCCGCCCGTCCCATCTTGGTGGCGGAAGCCGGGTGGAGGAGGAGAGCGAGAAGCCCTCTGTGACAGGAGGGGGGTGTGCATGGTCGCTCCTTGGCGGCAGTCTGTGCTGCATGTCTCGGGCAGTGCTGAGTCCCCGCTGGCGTGAGAAGTGAGCCTGGCTCCCTGAGCCACTGTGCCACACACCGCTGGGAATTTCATGCTCTTGCCCTTGCTGGGCTTCTGCTAGTGGTATTCACTGCCACTAAGCAGGTGACTGAGAGACAGAGGGATAAGCTCAGAGGGGCAGAGCTTGCCCTGTGGGCGCTCTTCTGTGGGCCCGGGATCCCTACCCACTGTGACCGGGGTCCCCAGTTCCCTCACTGAGACTCCTTTCCAGCCCTGGCAACAGAGCATTCCACAGGCTGCTGGGAAGTGGCAGTTTCAGTCTTTGCCACGCCAGTGCAGGCCTTCTCCTGGCAGGGAGTGCCCACTGACCAAGACAGTGACGTCCAGGCACAGCACCCGTGTGCCCCTGCTCCAGGTGTCTCACACAGTCACTGAGTCCTCGTGTCAGACTGCGAGGTGGACAGGAGGGCAGCGAGGGGCCCGGGTGGCCTCGGCAGCACTTGCTGCGTGCAGTGGGGCGGAGCAGGGCAGGCGTGCGTCCACAGGTCCGGTCTCACTCTCCTCTCTCCCCAGACGCTGAGCGAGTGGACAGCACCACGCTGCTGGGTAAGGAGAGTTGTGTCTCTGTCGCTTCTGTGCCCAGGTTCCCTTGTCTTCCTGCCCCTGCATGTAAAGTGGTGACAGTGTTTGTCACATTAAATGAGCAGCCGCTGAAGAGGATGCGAGTGCCGAAGGACCCGCCTTACTCACACGTTCTGTCCTGGGAGCTCGGGTGCAGGGGCCCAGAATGAGCCCCACTGGGCTTGGCCACTCAGCACCATGTGGCATCACCTAGCCCTCCAGAAACCCCAGCTGCAAGGGTCCATGCTGCCCACAGACGCCTGCAAGCTACGCTCCCTGAAACGGGGCTGCTCCCAGGGGCTCGGCAGACCTGGTGGCCTGGGGCACAGTGGGCAGCAGTGCTGGGGTCCAGCTCAGAAACTGCAGCCGCTGCGCCTGGCTCGCCCTCTTCACCCCGCTTTCCCAGGAAAGCCATGGCTGTAGTTTCCTTTCATGTGGCCTAGGATGGTTTTGTAAAGCAGCAGCTCAGTGGCTACCAGCCGCAGTGCACAGCGGGGAGGACTTGCTGGTGCTTCGTTGAGGTGGGGTTCGGAAGGGGGCCCCTGGGGAGCCCACGGTAGAGCAGCTCCGTAATCAGCTGTCGTCCTGCAGGCAATGCATGTCAGGACTGTGCGAAGAGGAAGATGGAGGAGAACGGGATGGAACCGCCCAGAAAGCTCAGACACCCAGGTGCGGTACTGCATGGTGGGCTTGTGAAAGGGCACCTGGCTCCTTTCTCCCCGGTCAGTGTCCTCAGTGACAGCTTTGCTGTGCCGAGCTGGTCAGTCCCCTGGCAAGAGGAGCAGCCACAGCATGTGTAGGACCATGCACAGGGCAGCCTAGAGTGGGATTTGGCACCCGCACAGCGGCCCAGGAGGCCTGGTGTCTGCATCGTCAGGTGTGCAGGGCGAGGGAGGGTCGGGTTGGTCGGGGATTCTCACAGCGGACGCCCAAAAGTCTCAGCCACTGTCCACTTGTGACCTTAGCTGCTACAGAAAACCGGATCATTGAGGCCTCTGTCACTAAGATTCAGTTCAGCTGTGTTTAGTTTCTTTGGATTGTTTGCTTGGGTAGAGTCGCTCCCCGGACGCCAGGAAAGGTGACCTGGCCTCCTCTGCGCCCCCTCCTTGCAGCGTCCTGTGTTGGTCCGAGGCGCTCAGCACTGGGCAGCCAGGTGGTCCTGACTGCCTGTTGCCCTTCATGGCCAGTCACAGACCTCAGCCCATGCACGGCCATGGGACAGAGGAAGGCCGCTTATCCACCTGTCGGTCCGTGGTGAACGCTGGAAAATAAGCAGGCCCTTGGTTACAAAGCGTGTTGTGGGGGCTCCGCCTGGCAGCCTTCTGCCCAGCCGCAGGACGAGGCCCAGGGCCAGGGGCAGACGTGCTTCTCCCTTAGTGCTGCGTGCCCAGCCGTGACCTTCTCCTGGGGGCCCTGGACTTCACCGTTCTCCTCAGCAGTTCCTACTCGGGTCTCCAGAGTTATTTCCACAGTCTTGTATGTTTTCTCTGATTCTTAATTTTCATCTTTCTCCATTTTTTCGTAAGCTTTCTGGGAGATTGGGTTAAATGCCCGTCTTGCTGACAGGCAAGGTGATCTTAAGTGTGAGCGGCTCGTTTGTGGACTGAACATTTGCCTCACTGGAGTCTGTCATTGCGAACTGTGGTGTCTTTCCAGGTCTCTGGAGAGCCAGAGGCTGAGCTGGTCACCTGACTTGGTTCCTGAAAACACTGGCCAGAGGAGCTGAGCTAACGGTCGCTCGGTGGCACCCGTTCACCCAGGAAAACCTCAGCAGGCTGCCCCATACAACAAGCCACTGAGAACCCATAGTTTGCGGCGGGTAGGGCCGTCGGTAGCTTATTTAAATGTTGCAAGGCGCCACTCCCTGGCTGTGTTCTGGTTGAAGATTCCTGGTCTGAGGTCCTTCAGAATCTGACACTTTGTGAGCATCAGATCAGAGCTCACAAGTTTTGAGATATTTGGAATATTTTAGGTTTCAGCTTTTCAGGTTAGGCAGGTTCAACTCCTTAAGGCCTGCAACTTTCCACAAGCTGAGAACTTCAGAGCTGAAACTCGTGGGTACAAGCCTTCTGCCGAGGGCTGCTCGGCCTGCTCGGCCTGCACGTGTCGCCCTTCTGTGCAGGGAGTACAGGCAGTCGGGGCCGACTGTCAGGGCAGGTCAGAGTGGGCGCAGACGCCAGGGAAATGAACCAGGTCATCCGAGGAAACGGGGTGCAGCCCGCGATGCTGCTGGTCAGACTGGGCGGCAGGAGGCCGAGGGTGTAGCAGGGCCGAGGACATTGTGCAGACCCTGCGTGTCCCTCTAGATCTGCGGGGACTGCAGTGGCATGCATCTCTAGAGGGCCAGTCCTCTTTTGACCGAGTTCCCGGTACCCTTTCAGCGGCTGTTGGGATTGAGTTCCCCGTAAGGACACTGTAGTCCGAGCGGAGTGGAGAGAAGCCGGTGCCCTGGGCAGGCGCTCTTTTCCGTCGTCTCTCGCCTGGTGCCCGCTGCTGTGCAGGGCCGGCCCCGCGGGGACTCTGCGTGGACGCGGCTGCGGCCTGCTCCTGGGCAGCATGGCTCCCGGTGGTGGGGCTCTCGCTTGGCAGATGTCGCCGCAGAGCAGTGTCCAGAGGTGCCCTTCCGGGCAGCTGTGCCTAGGGAAAGCCACGGCCTCCTCTGCCTGTCGTGCTGGCCACACTCAGGCTGCAGAGCATGGAGCAGTGGGCAGCGCTCTGCCCGCCCAGCGGCTCTCCCTGCGGCATCAGCTTCTCAGGTTGAGACTGCCACCGCTTTTGCCTGCCGGGCAGTGTTTCTGGGTCCTTGACAGGGAGCCCAGCCCGAACTGGTCTGAGGCGGCAGCAGGCCTCTGGGGCCAGTGCGCCTGCAGCTGAGCTTTGTCCTGCCGTTTCCCTTTCCAGATGATGCCAGCGGGTCCTGAGCTCTTTCTACCCGGTCACACCTGCAGCGTGAGGCTCGGCCTTCTGTAACCAGTGCCATGTCCCCCGCCGTCACCGTCACTGTCACTGTCATGTGCCCCCAGAGCCGGCCAGGCTGGGTGTAGAGCTCTGCGTGCTGACCTGCCGCGGTGACACGGACACTCTTCGGGAGCCCTGTGCGGACCGATGAAGGCTACCTCAGGGACCAGCGGCGGGGAGGATGTGCCTGGCGCCGCTGCCCTGCGCGCTGCTCTGCATCCGGGTGTTTCTGCCGATGCAGGAGAGGAGCTGGTCCAAGCAGCAGGGTTGGCGGAGAGGAGGGAGAAGGCCCCGGCCCTGGGCTGTTCTCACGTGGAAACAGCTGGCCTAGAGGGCGCGTTTCACCCTCTCTGTTACACTGGTCACAGTAAAGGGGCATCGGAGCGGCGCGCAGAGATGGTTTTTAGGAGTGATGCTGCCAGGAGGCTCCGGAGGGCGGCTCTGCCAACGCTGCCCAGGGCCAGCCAGGAGGCGCAGGGGTGTGGACGAGGCTCTCAGCCTGGAGTCCAGCCGAGCTTGGTGTGTCCTCACATCCTGGGGCAAGGTCCTGCCTATTGTCCTCCCTTGTCCCCGTTCCTCAAGCCAAGGGGACTTCTGCAGGGCCAGCCAGCTTGTGGCTTTGCTGGGTGCTGCGCATGCGCGGGAGGCCTCCCTGCGGCCCGCCCTGCGCACTGCCCCAGCGCCCTTGCGTGGGTGCCCAGCCCCGGGACCCCACAGCCGCAGTCGGGGAGGGGCAGGGAACAGGGGTGGGCGGATGAGGGTGAGCCGGAGACGCGCGCCGGAGCCCTTTCTCCCCCTTTTGAAGCATAGAGACAAACGTGTCACTCTGGTCATAAATAAAGTTTTTACGTGGCCACGTGGTGTGTGCAGCCTCCTTGGTCCCGGCGAGCCCCGCAGGGAACACTCAGCCCGATGCAGTCACACGGTGCGCAGGGACATGCAGGGGTGCTGGCCGTCCCGGTGGCCGTGCGTGCCCGCCTCGTGGGCGAGACCCCGCGTCCGCGTTCTTGTCCGGGCAGCCGGAGGAGTGGGCACGGGTCTCCCGCCCTGGGGGCGTCCGGGTGGCAGCTGGACCACGTCCGCGGAGGGCCAGGGCTTCCCCGCGGAAGCTGCCCACTTAACCTGCTGGCCTGGCCTATGCCCTGCTTATGCTCGGGGCTTACTGCCACGCTAGTGGTTGAACTTGGGGCTGCCATCCTTTCTGAGCCAGGGCCTCCCTAAACTCCGAGGTCCTGGCCTGCACCTGTCACCTTCCTGCCTTGGCCTCTCCAAGTGCTGGGGCCCAGGCCGTGCCTCTCCTGCACCTGCCCGGCCCTGTCGTGTCCACGGTGCTCGGGTGCTCGGCAGGGTGCTGACAGTGGGCGCTGAGGGGACCCTCAGCTTGGGCAGCAGCCACAGGGAGCCTGCATGAGGGGCAGAGGTGCCCTGCGCCCAGGGGGCTCCTCCCAGGCAGGGTGCGGGACCAGAAGGCCCACTGAGGCTCACAGGGAGGGCAGCAGACTCGTGTCCCCAGCTCCTCAGGAAACCGCCCGGGCACCCAGGCCGCACTGAAATAGGCTCGGTGTCCCCTGCAGATTTGTTCTGCTTCCTGTAACTCCGCTGGGGACAGCTAACTTAGGTGTTTATTGACGCTTCTATAACATACTGGCCTGCAAGTGATCTTCCACAAAAACGGGGCTCAACTCACACCACTGCCGGGGCAGCTGACAGCCCGCGTGCCAGGCAGGGCACCCTGCCGCAGACCCTGGGTTGACCCTGTCCTTCCTCAGGAGCACCCCAAAGATGCAGGCCAGACCACGATGAAGAGGATGCATGGTGGAGCATTTTAATGACAAGCTTATTTCAAAACAAGACGACACAGTGCCTTCAGAAAAACCAATGCTGAGTGCTGGGGAGCCGGACCCCAGGGGTCCCGAGGACAGGAGCCGGCTCTGACCGACCGCCAGGCTGCTGGCGGCCCGGCCTACCGCGACTAGGACCCTCGGTGTCCTCTGCCGCCCTGTCCGCCTTCAGAGTCCGGGTAGGGACGCAGGTCCAGGGTCAGCACTCGGCTGCACATGCCTCTGTCGTGCTGGAGGGAGACAGGAGTGGCAGTCGGGGTGGGCAGGGAGCAGCAGCAAAGCACGGCCACCAGCCAGCCTGGCCTCGCGCTCGGCAGGAAGCTGCTGACCCTGAAAGGGCACCCGTTACCTGGTTCACCCCAGTTTTTTAATTTTCAATTTCCCGGTGAGGATTTTTCTTTCGGGAGGTAGTAGCTGCGGTACTGGGGCCCGAAGCCAGGGCCTTGGCACTGGCCTACACCTGCAGCACGTTTCACTGTGGGATGGTCCTGCAGGCTACTCGGGCTGGGCCCGAATCTGCAGCTCTGCCTGGCCTCCCACAGTGCTGGATCCCGGGCGCGCACCACCACGCCTGCATAGTTTCCATTTCTCAGCATACTCGGAGGTGCTCCCCTACTTTCTGTGGGTGCAGGCAGGTAAATTCGCTTCAGCTTGAAGGCAAGCTCAGGAAATAAGGCCTAACCGCAAAGGCCGAGTGCCTTGAACTGGTTGCCCTACCGTCAGCTCGGGCAGTGGCTGAGGGGCCTGGGAGCGGCCCGAGGCCAAGTCCCGGGACGCGGGGGGCCTCCCGTTACAGCAACAGGAAACGCAGTGTTACCTGCCGTATGTTAACCTGCGCTGTTTTATAAAGGTCTCTTCTGCTCTGCAGTTGTTCATGTGCCGCTTTCCCCTGACATTCATCTTATCTGTGTACCATCACAGAAAAATACCCGAGCAGCTCCTCACTCAAACCTGAGGTCGCCTGTGTTTGGCTCCTGCACTGTCCGGCAGCCTCTGCGATTCCACCTGGGGCTGCTGCCCGGCAGGGATGAAGGCAGAGGGAGGGACGGGGCGCCCCGCGGAGAGCAGAGCCCCTTTACCTCTGGGTACACCCCGATCAGGGCATCCGCCCTGGAGTAGAGCTCTTCTTTCAGGGAGATGATTATCATCTGGAACTGCTCCTGAGTCTGCTCTCTGATGTAACTGGAGACCTGGCAGGAAATGAAAAGCTGCATGTCTGCTGTCAGCCAGGCCGCTCATACAGCAGGCGGGACGAAACACGGGGCAGCTCCTCCTCGGGAGGCACCAGGAGAGCCCAACGCAGCTGTCTGCAGACCCGGGGACTCTGCCCTCCTCTGGGCGGGCAAGCCTTCCGGGCCACACTGACCACCCAGTCGTGTCCCAGGCCTGCCTGTACACACTCAGGGTGACGCTGCTTCCTGAGTTCTCTTCTCCCAGATAAAGGGAAGGCAGCTGGCACAGCACGGCCCGGCCGGCCACGGTTGGCTAACTTGGGGAGGCCTCTGGATTGTGTCTACACAGGCTGTTCTTTAACAGACACCTCCCTCCCTCGGCACAGGAATCCACATGGACCTGCCCAGCGGGGCTGCCACCAGCCAGGTGGCGTGGGCTCATGCCCAGTGCCTGGGCGGGGGCAGCGAGCCTCATCAGTGAAGCACCGTGTTCCTATGTAACTCAGACACCAGGGAACAAGAGCAAAACGTGGCTTTGATCAGCACGCCCTGCTGGCCCCCAGCCCGGTGTTGAGGTAGCTACTTTCTGACCACACCGTGACCCTGGAATTGTACACACACTGAAAAAGCAAAAACCAACTTACTTTGCCAATGTTGGTATTGTCCAGGGCTGCATCCACTTCATCTAGAACAAAGAATGGGGCAGGCCGGAAGCTGGAAGAAAAAAATGCATCCTGGTTAAGTTACAGCTTCCTGTCCGTTTTGCAAGACGTGGGGAAAAGATGAACGGCAGCAGACACTTCCTTCTGCAGAGCTGTCTGGGACACTGGTGACCTCTGCACCGCCGAGACCATGCTCGCCCAGCCGCGGCCTGTGTGGTCCATACCATGACGGGTTGTCATGTCCACCCCAGACCTGCTGCCCCGTCTGGCGCTTCCTCCCCTCCACGGCCTGCCCCAGTGAGCACGGCCTCAGGACCAGGCTTGGAGCCCTATGTCCCTGCGTAACAACCCTGACCTGCACCTCAAGGGCACCTCAGACCCGGCCCTGCCCTCCAGCCCTGTGTGGCCTGGACCTCACTCCAGGACACCTCTCCTCTGCCTGAGGCTGCTCCTCGGGCTGTTAGCAGCCTCCACCAGTGCCATCGTCCTCCCTGTCCTGGGCCTGCCGGGGCCCTCTACACAGACCGCTCACTCTGGCGGGGCCAGTGTACTCGCCGCCCTTCACATCCAGAACATTCTTCCTTGCAGTCCTTGTGCTTTGCTGCAAGCCTTCAAATGGAATGGAAGCGTGCCCACACAGGCCCCCGTGCCTCTGCAGCGCCGCAGCCCCCTCCCGCACCCTCCCCTCCAGCCTGCTCCAGTTCCCTGCCCCTGCCTTGTCATCTTGGACCTCCACAGACAGAACGTGCTAACACGCCCTACTCACTGTCCTCCACTGAAGCCCAGCAGCGGACGCGGGCCTTCTGTTCTGTTCACAGCGCGTGCCCTGGTGCCCGCTACAGCCCTGCACAGTTTTCAGTTCAGCTGAGCTGGGTGGCGCCACCTTGTGCCAGTCTTCCTGAGTCCTCCCCCTCTTGACTTTTCCTCTCCTGGGGAGAGGGGTCCCCTTTCCTTCTTGAGACCAGTAGAAGCCAGTTGCCAGCTCTGTGGCTCAGCTCCTGGGGGGCGGCAGCACCTGTGCCCAGGACCCTCCCCTGTGGCTTTCACTGTGGAAGCTGCCCCTTGAAGTGATTTTAACTGTGTTTTATTTCTTGATATACATTGCAGAGAAACAGTGCCAAAGAGATGAGATGGAAGCTTTCTCAGGCAAGATACTTGCTTTTGCTCTTTTTATTTTTTTTAACTTTTTTTTATTGGTACGGGGGATCGAACTCACGACCGCCTGCTTGCAAGGCAGGTGCTTATGCTGCTGAGCTAAATCCCCAGCCCCGAGATACTTGCTTTTAACGTTCTTTACTAATAGATATCCAAGCAGAGACCAAGAAAGTAATGTGCAAGTCGGGTTTTCTAGTTTGCTGGTTTTGACCATCTTGTTATATTTGGTCATCAAAACTTTTTTCTCTAAGACTGGAAATTTACTAGCCACGGATAATTAAATCTGTCAAAGGCTGAGCTTGGAGCCGCGCTGTGTGACTGGGCAGTCCTCAATCATGGCCCCTGGCCGAAGCAGACAGTTCTGCAAACCTCTGCTGAGAACTGTCAACACAAGCAGTCCCAGCTCTTGCAGAGAGAGCTGCTGGGCTCCGGCGCATGACAGGAACTCACCTGTGCACAGCAAGCAGCAGGGCCAGGGCTGCCACGCATTTCTCTCCCCCGGACAGGTTGTCCATGGGCATGAACCGCTTGCCTGGGGCCACACAGTTATAGCTGATCCCTTCTAGGTAAGGCTCCTCAGGGTTCTCCGGGCTAAGAAACGCCTGCAACACATGTTATTTATTTAGCAATATCAGCTAATACTAGTGCCTTTCAACCATGGGGCCAGTATTAAATGAAAATATTCTACTGGTGGAGTCCTTGATTTGGATGGAAAAGCACCACGGCCTGTCATAATGTACTTATTGTGCATTTAATCACAGACCACAGGGCTGTCCAGCTGTGGGGAGCCAAAGTGCTGGGACACCCCCAGGGACCAGGCTGTACACAAGACTGCCAGTCCCACCACAGCAGCACGTGCCACAGCCCCCACGAGTGTTCCTCAACTTGCCCAGTCTCAAACCCACTTCCTACAGTCCAGGGACTGTGCAGACAAGTAATCCTGCTCCCAGGAGGCAGTGGGCTTACTTTACTTCCCTGGGCTGGGAATATGTAATTTTCAGTTACATGCTAGCAATCTCAGCAAGGATCACTCAGGGAGGGGAGACCACGTCCACGGCCCATGTCTGTCTGCCACAGCCGGTCCAGGAGTGTGGAACAGGGCCTCATAACAGATGTGGGGTGGGGGAACCAGGCTGTCGGCACTGGGTGTGTGCCTGAACTCTTCCCTGCTCCTGATACGAGGTCAGCTCCACAGATCAGCTGTTTCCCAGGCTCCCCCAAGGTGTACCCTCCCAAAGCTCAATTAATGCCAGGCAGCAGCAGGTCAGCGCTGAAGGGGGTGTGGGAGGCCAGCGGTCTGACCACTCACTCCCAGTGGGAAACAGACGTGGGCGGAGCCGACCTGTGCAGGCCAGTAGCATAGATGTGCGTGGGATTCAAGACATAGGTCATTAGGTGAGCAGTCTGCCCTGAAGGGGCCACTCCCACAGTGGGCAGTGGGCAGTTAATCCAGACAGCAGGGCTGTCTGGCTCGGGGAGGAAAGTACAGGCTAGAGCTTCAAAGTCCCCACGGGGACCCGGGGTGACACATACGTACTTGGGCACTGTTGTTTCGGCAGAGCTTCTTGTAGATGTGATCAATTGAGACCGACACGTGCTCAAAGCACTGGCTGAAAAGATCGAATCTTCTTTTTTTCACCTGTTCAAACTCTTGCCTACACATCCTGGCTTCCTTTCTGCTGGCCTCAAAAGCTAAGAGAGAACCAATGTTCTTTAAATTGGAGACCACTGAGCGACTTCTCTTAAAGTAAAAAAACTGGACTGTGAAGTTGGTTGTCAAGTGAAACTGCCTTTAAGATACCTCAATGATATTAATTCCAAGGGCATAGCTTTTATAATCAACAGGCCGTTTTCCTGGCAGGGCTAATTTCTAAATTTTGTTGTTTCATTTTGAGACAGGGTCTCCCTGTGGAGTCCAGGCTGGCCTTCAACTCACGATGTAGCCCAGGCTGGCCTCGAACTCAGCAATCCTCTTGCCCCAGCTTCCCCAGTGCTGCGACTTCAAGTGTACACCATCCCACCTGGCATAATTTCTAATACTGACACGTTCTGACACAGTAATTGTTTTTCTGGCATGAAAAATTACATGTCTAAAATAACCAACAAGCTTGTTTTCAAGTTCAAGCAGGACACTTTCCTAAAGGAAGCTATTAGTGATTCAGCATGGAAGGCCTATGACAACAGAAGAAAACGTGTTCTAAAAGGAAAAGTGTGATCCCGGGAGGACTGTGCACCTGTCCAGGAACGAGGCCCCAGCACCCCATCCTGCCGCTGCCAAGCTCGGCCTCACCATCTATGGACTCCTGGAACTTGTCCCTGACCATTTTCAAGTTCTCCAGGGCGCGCAGGTTCGGGGCTGCTGTCTTCAGCAAGTTGTCTTCCTGGGATGCCACTTGCTGTACCAGGAGCTCAAGGTGGGCCTCCACCTCCTTCTCTGACTCCAGAGCCTGCGGGCGGGGAGACCAGGCTCTCCAGCTGCCGCTGCTGCTGCTGCAAGCCTACAGTGAGGCCTGCGGCAGGCTGGCACATCGACCCCGCCCGCCACTCCCTCTGCAGCAGCCTGGAGCCGCAGTCCCAACCTCAGGACCTGTGGGGCCCCCAGCAGCTGCTCGCTTGCGCCTGTAGTGCTGTATGGGATGCTCTCGGAATGTCTTTCCCTCCCTGGGCTGTAATCTGGCTAAAAAGCAACAACTCACAGGTCCCCTTAGTTCCCTTGCCCATTAAAAACTACCCATTGTGTACCACAAATTAGACTCCAAGGAGGCTCTGACGGGAGCAGTTCAGTCTCTGCCTTGACTCACAGGGAAGTTGGAGATGGAAACACCTCCTAAAAGGCCCTCCAGGAGCACCAGGGCAGAGAGCGGGATCTGCGGCAGTAAGGTGCATGGTCCTGCCCCAGACCCCAGTGAGAGCTGGAACTCACTCAAATGAGGAGGGCGGGCAGTGGAGCCAGGCCCTTCAGGAGAACTTCCTTGACTCCAATGGACACGTGACTGAAGAGACATTTCCACTCACTGAGACTTATTTGAAAACAGATGAACTCATACCATACATGCAAATAAAGTTCATATGAATGAATACAAGAAAGCCCTAAGTGGCAAGACAGTAATTATGAACACGTACTGGGTAACAAGAGGGAAAGGGCTTGCTGCAGCAACCGAGAGAGCACTAAAAAAGCAGAAGACCAAAGAGAAGGAAAAAGCTACTTTCTGACTGCCAAACAATGTCACACCGAGAGTCCAAATTTCCAGTCTTAACCACATATGCATTCGAAGACACGGGGGCTGCTGCTCCTCAGCACCCACCCCCTCTGCCCCCTGCTTCTGTAGCCCGCTGCTGACAGAGCCCGAGAAGCGAGGCCAGGGGCCTCGGGGCTGACCGCACCGGAGCCCGAGCTGCTGCAGTAGAGGGAAGAGGGCTGCACTCCAGGCTGCAACCTGTTCCTCCTCCTCTGGGAGAAGCCCAAGCCTGCAGCAGGCAGACCCGGGACCCTGACAAGGTGAACTCAGGCGCTGGAGTAAAGGACGCTTTTTTTTTTGGAGACAGGTCTTACTATGTAGTTACAGCTGGCCTTGAACTCACTTATATAGCCCCAGCTGGCCTCGAACTTGTGGCAATCCTCCTGCCTCAGCCTCCTAAGTGCTGGGGTCATAGGTGTGCACTACCTTGCTAGGCAGGCTACTTCTGTTTATGCGGGAGTTTGCAAAGACTTCAGTATTGCATGCGACCCCACAGAAGTGGTTTGCTACACAAACTGATGGGTCAGTGCATAGGCATACATCCTGCAGAGCAGAGACTAGACATACTGATGGTTTCTTTGAAACAAGGTTCCGCAAGGCAGCTCAGGCTGTCCTCGAACCCACTATGTAGCCCAGCCTGGCCTAACCTATTGATGGCTGTTCTGTGATAGTTGTGTACTTGGCCTTCATCCTGGGTCTTAGCCCAGAACCCTAAAACCTGAACGGCAGCGGTGAAGTGGGCATCTCTTGTCATTGCTAGTAAGCTCCCGTGCAGCCCACCTGCTAGCGGCCGACTGCGAAGAGGCTGGGAACTTTAGGCACACTCCCTGGGGAGGAAGTAAGGCTGGACATGGACTTGAGGAGGCACCTGGAGGCCACTCTACCACCGGGCTCTTCCCGGCCTTCCCAGGAGGACACTGAACATGGGGCACCCTGGAGTCTCGCAGCCACTCTCATCACTGCATCCAGCTGAAGGAAGGGGCCACGGAGAGGAAGACCGGGGAGGGCTGACCCTCTCCCGCGCCTGCAGAGCCTCAGGTGGGCAGAGCTGGAGACGGGTGTGGTGTGAGGCAGAGCCAGGCATCTGCCCTCACTGCTGGCAGCGCTCTGCCGCCTCCAAGTGACCCTGCAGTGTCTGCACATTCAGCCTTGCCGGGGGTCAGCAGAGACCAACAATAACCTGTTACCTTCAAGTCCTCTCGCAGAGGGCCGTAGTCCACTTCCAGAGCGGCCTCTCTCTCGTAGATGTCAGTTGTTGCCTGCGTGCTCTCTGTTTCAGTTCCCAGCTGAAAAACATGTAAAGCTCTGCTCACTGTGCCCAGGGGACCTGGACACCCGGTGCATCCCACTCCTCCAGGTGCTAGGCAGGCTGCAGGGACCTGCTGTCGCCCTCTCACAGCTCCGTCAGTGTCTGCAGCCGTGCAGCCTCCGTGGCCACCACTGGCTACTCTCAGGTGGGCAGCCCCCGAGGCGTCTGTGGGAGTCACCTGTCCCCTCCACCAACCCTGCTCCTCTCCTGCTTTTCTGTCGCACAGCTGGACTAGTACCTCACATCACTATTTCGTCGGCCTGTGCTTGCTTGTCTCTACTCCGCTGGTAGGGAAAGGACATGATTTTTGGCTGTTGCAGAGCCAGGGCCTATTGCAATGACTTATATTTCAATTTTGCTGTGAAACAGCTGGCCTTTGGTGTCATGCTGGTCAAAACCAAGACTCATATATTAAGAAAAATATGCCCAACTTGGCTGGGCATGGTGGCACATGCCTGTAATCCCAGCACTTAGGAGGCTGAGGCAGGGAGATTGCCAGGAGTTCCAGGCTAGCCTGGTCTATAGAGCTCAGGACCAGCCTAAAAAGACTGTGTCTTAAACAAGAAAATGAAAAAAAAGCAGCCGAACTCTGTCGTTTACCCTCTGTAGGAGTGAAGTTCTAAGTAACGCGTGTGTTAAAACAGCTCAGAGAGCAGCTGGCCTAGAGCACAGCGCCCCCTCCCCGTTCCCACATGGGACCCGATGTCACCGATTCGGCTTGTACCCATCATCTGCTGCTCGCTGCTCCAAGTGTGAGCACAGGCATGCAGCCTCGCAGGCAGCAGCACCCCTGCCTCCTTGCACATTAGGACCCGGGAAGCAACAATCCGGCCGTCTCCAGCCAAAGCCTCTGAGAATTTCCGGGAGCCCGGCAGGCAGAGATGACCCATGCTGTGGAAGGGGAGTCTGGGGCTCCGCTTTCCCCAGGTGGATGGTTACTGCCCCGGTGAGGGTTGTGAGACAATGACTTCAGCCCCCGAGAAACCCAGCCTGCCTACTACCGTCTCACCCCAGGCTTCAGTCGCACGACCTGGTATGCCTATTAAAATGCCAGCCAGGATGCACCCGAGGCTGACCCCCTTTCTCCTAGTGCTATCTCTGAAGAGACACTGGGCTCTGAGGCCTGGCATGCCCTAGGGGACCAGAAAAGAGTATGTGACCCATGCGAGCAAGTGTTGTCTGTTCCAAGAGAACCATCGACGTCGGCATGCCTCCCCACCCAGAGTGACGTGGTCTGGGCCTCTGGATGCTCTGCTTGCAGGAAGCGTCATGCTTTTTTTTTTTTTACCGGTACCGGTGATCAAGCTCACGACCGCCTGCTTGCAAAGCTGGTACTTATGCCGCTGAGCTAAATCCCCAGCTCCCGAAGCGTCATGCTTTAAAAGTGAGCGTGATACTGCAGTGTGGCCTGAGCAGGTGCCTCTTCCACAGACTGATCTTCAGGGCAAAGTGCAAGGGCGGCCAGGGACCCCCCACACCCCCCCAGCACGCAGCTTCCTTGATGAACCCACAGCAAGCTCCCCTCAGGGGATGGGCTCGGGTGTGGTCCATTCCCTGGTTTGGGTGAAAGGGGGGCGCCAGGCACCCACTGTCCACACCAGGCCGATGCTCATCCTGGGTCCTGGGTGCCACCTATGCATCTCTTGTCCCTTGACTTTGGGAAACCACTCAGCTTTTACTGCGTGAGAAGCTGTGCCTTCTCCTGAATGTCACATTACTACATCACTGGAGCCATCTAGTGCAGACTGTGGCTCTTTAGACTGGTCTTTTCAGTATGCACTTCCGTGTGTGTGTGTGTGTGTGTGTGTGTGTGTGTTACTGAGGGTTTGCACAGAGCTTAGATTGGTCTTTTTAGTATGCACTTCCGTGTGTGTGTGTGTGTGTGTGTGTGTTACTGAGGGTTTGCACAGAGCTTAGACTGGTCTTTTCAGTATGCACTTCCGTGTGTGTGTGTGTGTGTGTGTGTGTGTGTGTGTGTGTTACTGAGGGTTTGCACAGAGCTTAGACTGGTCTTTTCAGTATGCACTTCCGTGTGTGTGTGTGTGTGTGTGTGTGTGTGTGTGTATGTTACTGAGGGTTTGCACAGAGCTTAGACTGGTCTTTTCAGTATGCACTTCCGTGTGTGTGTGTGTTACTGAGGGTTTGCACAGAGCCAATTCCATGTGGGTGTGTGTCCGTGTGTGTGTGTGTGTGTGTGTGTGTTACTGAGGGTTTGCACAGAGCCATAGCTCCAGCTCTTACAAAGATCATTCTTTTGACACTTCTGAGATAAGGTTTTCCTGTGCTACTCAGTCCTCCCGCCCCAGCCTTCCAGAGGCCTGGGACTACAGTGCCACAGGCCTGGCTTTTCCACATCTCTTCCTGGCTATTTATTTTTTCTAGTGCTGGAGTAACAATGCATGGTCTGAACACCGCACTTTCCTCACTCACCCACAGGTGATCTGTTTGTAACTTTGTTCTCTGTGGTCCTGGGGATAGAACCGAGAGTCTCACAATGCTAGGTAAGCGCTCTACCACTGGGCTGTACTCCCAGGCCCTAAAGGATATTCTGGCTGCTTCCAAGTTGTGGCAAGCTATTATAAACAGGGTTTTGTGTGGAATTAAGTTTTCAACTCTTGGAGAAAACACCGGGTAGCGCAGCAGCTAGACCACTGGTCAGGAACGGCCTTCCCGCTGACTGCAGCATTTTGCATTCCCGTCAGCAGTGAGAGCCAATTCCTGTCTCTCAGCATCCCCGCCAGCGTGTGGCGTCCTCACTGTTGTGGGCCTTGGGCAGTGTCTGGGGCCACCGTGTGTGCACGCGTGCTCCCGAAGGCACATGGTACAGGGCTCTCCTTACACGTTTACTTGTGGGACACACATCTGCGGCATATGCTTCCGGTACTCCTATTACACACCAGCTCCAGCTTCTGCAGCTTCCCGTAGTTCATGGAAGGACCTGTTGTCCCTTTCGGTCTTTTCTCTCTTTGCTTTTTAGCTTTAGCAGTTTCTATAGAGATATCCTTAAGCTCTGAGAAAATGAACTCAGTGCGGGGCTCAGTATCTGCTGTGAAATGCCCTGCACAGCACGTGTCTGTCATGCGGTTACTTTCACGTTGGCGGGGGCGTGTTGAGAGGAATTCTAGATTCACCAGGTGAAAGGACAAAGGGGACAGAGCAGCAGTGCTGTCACGGACCAACAGCAGCACCCGGGTCATCGGGCAGGAAGACTGCTTCCCTTCCTATTCACTACGTGACCGAACGCTTCTAGAACTAACACAGCGTCTCCTGCTTCTTCCTACAGTGAGCACAGCACTGCCTTCCTTCCTGCGCCCCCAGGGTAGCTGGGACAGACCCCTTCTGCTCCCTCCACACCTGCAAGAGCGGGCACAGGAGCCGGGACGAGCCGGCCCGAGTCCGAGGGCAGGAAGAGCTCTTCCCCAGGGTCAAAGCCGGAGCAGCCTCGTGGGCAAAGCTGATGGATGAGGACAGACCAGTACACACAGAGCAAGGAGTGTGGCAGCCTTCACACCCTGGCAGGAGCCGCAGGCAGCGCCATCAGCCCCAACCCGACCCTATCCCTTTTCTCCCTCTGCACTTTAGACCATTGGAATTGGCCTTCTGTCGCTTGGGCAGGAAAGGGTTTGCTCTTTTTTTTTTTCCTCTTACTCACAATGTCACCTGTGCTAGAACAGGAACAGACAGCAGAATTACACCAAAAAAAGTCATTCTGTTAGAAGGAAGCGTTGCGTTCTAGATACTTCGTTCTGAAGAACCCAAAGGACTTAGGCTGCTCTGCAGCAGAGGACTGGAGGGAAATAAGCCATTTCTGAGGCCGTGGGGCAGAGCAGCAAGGACAACCGCCTCGCCTCTGGGGTCTCCTGGGCATCCACTCTACAGGCGCGAGACTAGTCCATCCCGGTATGTGAGGAGACACAGGCCACCCAAGACCAGAATCCTGCCTAACGTCCTCCCCGAAAATGGGATGGCAAGCATTTTGCCCCTTTCCTTCCTAGCGGGGAAAGCTGTCTTCCCTCCTCTGAGGGAGAGTAAGCAGTCAGAGGGGGCTGCGCTCACCAACCATGGCTGCTGAGTTACCTCCACTTCAATGATGTCATCCAGCGACCCCGAGAGAAGCCTTATTTCAATGTCCTGAACTTTGCAATCCAGCAGCATGTTATGCTTCTCTAGGCGCCTCTGTTCCAGAGAAGTCTGAATTATCACAACTTTCTTTTGTAATTTTCCTACTTCCCTGTAAATACACACATGAAAAAGGGATTTTACTCACTGTGCAAAAGCTTTGCCAAGGAAGGAAAATGTTACATTATAAACTTCTTTGTAGAAGACCACTTTCTCCAAGAGTGCCCTAAGTGCTTGGGCTGTAACTTGTGGAAAGGGTGTGGGTGAGGCTCAGATGTGCAAGGGAGCCCAGCTTTAGTCCAGGGAAGACAGTGCCTTCCCACTTGCTTTCTTTATAGATCTGTGCAAGTTTTCAAGCTGCACCTCTCCCTCACGTGTGCACTGCATTTCAGAGCTTCAGATGAGAAGCCATCTCTCTGCACAAGAGATAGATACCTTGCAGGAAAGTTGTTGCACCTCCAACAACCTGAAGCTTCTGCCCCTTCCTGAGAATGAAGCTGTGACATCCAGCAGCTGAAGCAACTCAGAAAGAGGACCAAAAAGAAAAACATGAAGGAAGTAAGGAAGCAAAAGACAGAGGGCAGAAAGAACAGACAGATGCCAGATGGATGGGAGGGAAGACGAGGCTACGACGTTTTGAAAAACATGAAAATAAACAACAATAGCCCGGTTCAAATAATACGAAAATAAAACATCACTAAGCAGACTTTAACCCCACTCAGGGAACGGTAGCACCGGTCTTCAAAGCACTGGCGGTCTTTGCACAGTGAGAAAACTGAAATGCCAGGACACTGCGCAGAAGCCGGCCCCGGTCAGCTGACCGCTTGGTCAGTCACACAGGAAAGCAGGTGACTTTGTGCTAGGTGATCAAAGCAGCATCAGCACGTGGCAAGGATGCGTTCATCAGATGCCAGGCAGCACCTGAAGCGCTGCCCAATGCCATCTCCGCAGTGCTCACCACCGTCCCGTCCCGCACAGCAGGTGCCTCATTCACCTGCGTACTGGTGAGGACACGAAGGCGCAGGGTGCGTGCAGGCTCCTCCCCATGCTCTGTGCTGCCTGGTGCGATGGCAGGGACTCTGGACAGCAGGCACACTGCAGCGCAGGGCTGGCTCTCAGGGGAGGAGCACGCACTGAGCGGCCCTGCCTCTGCCTCCCCGTGTTAGCGTACTGAGAAGGGCTACGGGACCGGGAGGAACAAAACATGCACGCGCAAACACAAGCTAGTGACTTCTGAATTGGCAAGCGTGCACGTTTAAAATGCTAGCGAGGGCTTTGAAATGAAGCATTTTTAGTTACCTATCAACAGCCAAAAACTTCTTGCGCTCCTCTTCAATCTGAGTTTGAACTTTCTCAGCGCTGGAATTCTGTGTGACTAACACATCCTTAAGCTGCTTCTGCTTCGCCATGAGCTCATCCACCACACGCAGACAGTCGTCTTCCACCTGCGCCGAGAGGGTTTGCACTGCAGTTAGCGTCCCCTCCCGTGGTGGCTGAGGCAGCAGGCGCCGGCCAGCCCAGTTGTTCCCAGATGAGCGCCTTCCCCGTGTAGGGCGGGTGGACCGAGCCTGTCACAGGCTGTGACCTGCTATCACCCCACACCTGGAACCTGGCAGTCACTACCCGCCTGTGTCCTTCCTTTAGGTTCATGCCTCGGCTCAGGCCCACACTCCCAGTGACAGTGTCCCTGCATCTGGACCGGCCGCCACGCCGCGTCTGCAGCGACACCTCCTGCAGCGACACCTCCTGCAGCGCCGGGCTCCTGACATGTCTGCCGCTGCAGGCCTCCCCTCACGCTGGCCCCGCCAGGATCGCAGCATCGCCCTGTGGCCCAGGGCACTCCAGGGCACCTGCTGGCTGTCTCAGCCTCTCACAAGGGTTCAATATACTCCCGTCCACCAGCAAGTCCCCACCTGTGGCTGCAGCCTGTCTTCTCTGCCACCTGCAGGCTCTTCAATGTCCTGCCAGGGGCCATCAGGGCCTCACCTGGGCAGTGAGCTCCAGAGCCCGAGTCTCCTTCGTGCTCCCTCCCACTGGAAGTCCAGGGACTGGGGGGAGGGGACGCTGGGGCTTTACTTGAAGAGTTCTCAGGCCTCCCCCTCGCTCCCCGAGACCCCTCCAGGAGCTCAGCACCCAGCCCTCCACGAAGAGGCCCGCATCCCTTACCTTCTTCAGGCGGTCGGTGTCTTCTCTACCTTTCTGGACACTTTCTTTTAATGCACTGATCTTACTCAGTCTCTTCTTCAGCAGATTGCGACTGTATTCAAGCTGAATATTAAGCCGGGTTTTTTGTTTTTCAAATTCTAACCTAGTATAATAAAGTCCAGCATTACAAGAGGTAAACAGATGCTATCTTATTTTAAAACTTTCACCATAAGCCTTTTAGCTGCTTCCCCTCACTACTGGATTTTTGGAAATGAAATCTGGACATTGTGTAATTTCTTCTGTAAGAATTTTCATAAACTTATCTGAACGTAAACTGACTTTTAATTGAGCAGCATAACCTACTGTAGCTTAAACCTGTACACTGTATAACTGTCACTGCCACAATTCCTCATAGTCCCATCCATTTTTTGGTACTGGAAATCGAACTCAGGGCCTTACACCTGCCAGGCGCTGTGCTGCTGAGCTGCATCCCAGCCCTGAGATAACTTTATTTCCATCAGGATCCACATATCGCACGTGGGTAACATATTTCGTGCATTTTGTAATCTATAGTTGTCCCCTCTCTTTAAGTTACACCTAGGAGCTTATTCTTATAAATAGATCGGTGTTCGGCACAGCTATTCACATTTGAGCTTCATGTGGGAGCTGGGACTCTGTGAACATCGCCCTCCCGGTGTGCTCCTCCACAGCGCCGGCTCCTGCACCTGCACAGAGAATCTCAACACCAGCAGAGCCCCTCGTGCCTCCCGTTTTCCAGATCATTCTCTCGAGAAGCACTCTTAGCACTAACTGTAGTGGACGCTGTACTGGACACACGGGTCCCAAGGCAACAGTAAAACGAGACAGAGACAGCTGAGCAGCACTGGAAGTCCTCCGTGAATCAGGCTTACGCAAGCTGCAGCACCACAAACTGTGTGACGGTGACTTCATCCCCTGCTCGGCAGGCAGAAGACCACAGACCAGGCAGTGTGCAGATGTAGGAAGGGGCGGAACCCGGTGAGACACATTCAGGGACAGCTGAAACCCACCTGTGACCTCTGACTAGGTCATAGGAAAAACCACCAGGGACCCTAGAAGATGGTTCAGATGGGACAGCAGCAAAAATAACTCCAAACTCTGCGAGATACGTCTTAAACAGAACTTCAGAAGGTACTCAATAGCTTGAAGTGGTTATATTAGAAGAGAAGCCTAAATGAATGTAAGCATCCATCTTAAAAAATTAGAAAAGAACAGTATATTAAAAGAAAATAAGGAAGGAAACAATAAACAGCAGAAACCAGTAACAGAAACAAATCACAGCAAAAATCAGTGACACCAAGGGCTAGTCTTAGATCAGTGAGGCAGATGCGTCTCTAGCTGGACAGCAAGCACAGAGAACAAACAAATCACCAGCATTAGGGTGAAAGCAGCAATACAGCTCCTCCAAAGCAGGGCATAAATTGTAAGTAAATTTATGTTAATAAACTTGGCAACTGAGATAAAGATACAAACTACCACAGTTCAACCAGGAAGAGAGTACCCTGAGCAACCCTGTGCTGCACTGACAAGAAACTGAGTCTGTAATTAAAAGCTGTCCCACGCATTCCCGTAGCCCCGGGGCTCTGGAAGGGGGCAGAGGACTGTGACCAGACCTGGTGACCAAGACCGAAAGGAAGGCTGGGGACAGAGCACAGTGCAGAAGGCTCCAAGTTCAAACCTGGACCATAAGACAGACAAACAAACAAACAACTCCATCAACTTTCCCACAAAGAAAACCAGGTGGCTCACATGGTTTCTGGACATTTAGAGACAACACTAATTCTACATGAACTGCAGAAGAAAAGGAAACAATTTTCAGTTCACTGTATGTGTCTAGTGTTACCTGGATACTAAAACATGACAAAGGCATTACAAGAAAAGATCCATACACTCAGAAAATAGAGTCCTTAACACAATTCTAACAAATCAAGTCCAAAAATATATGAAACCCTGCCCTCAAAATACATGGAAAGTAAGCTGGGTGGTCTAGCATTTTAAAATCAATATAACAAACTATTTACTAGTAAGTAAACTCTTGAAAATTCAACCATACAATCATCTCAATAGAAACCAAAGAAAGTATCCGTCTAGGGTAACGCAGAAGCGTACAGTGAGAATAAAGGGAGCTCCTTCGACCCCTAAAGGCACCCTGTGTTTCCAGCTTCACTGAGAAAGACTCCGTGCGTTGCTCTTAGCCTGGAGGCAGGATGTCTACTCTCTCCATCTTAGATTATCATTGTCCTGGAGCCCTAGCTAGCACAACAGGCAGAAAGAATTAAAAGATATATTAATTTGAAAGGAAGAAGTAAAAATTTTTATTCACTGTCAATATAATTATCTACATGGAATCTACAAAAGAGCTAAAAGAACTAGTAAGTTTCAAGCTGGCTATGTGGTGCACCCCCTTTCACTGGGAGGCTGAGGCAGGAGGATGGCCATGAGTTCGAGGTCAGCCTGCGTTACATAGTAAGTTCAAGGCTAAACTACATAGCAAGACCCAGTCTCAAAAAAACAAAAAAACAAAAAGAACTAGTAAGTTTAGCAAGGTTTCAGAATATAAGCCCAATTTACAAAAATTAATTTTAATTTCAATATACTATCAAGAAACAATCTCATATTGAAATACACACTAGAACAAACCTGTACACTGAAACCTAAAGAGTACTAATGACAGAAATTAAGGCTAACCTAAATGGAGGAAAGCACATGCCCGGGGCCAGTGCTAAGAGGTCCCAAATTGACCCACAGATCCAACACAGCCCCTACCAAAATCCCAGCAGGTTTTAGACAGCAGCTGAAAAGCTGATGCTAACACGCACACGCAAATACAAGCACTGAGACCAGGTAAGGGCGCAACCTTTCCTGTGTACTGCTGTCGCCTCAGCCCCTGGGAGGTGCCTGGCCCGTGGGAGGAATACACGTGGTCAATAACGAGGATGTGTTGGATGAACGAACAGAATATCAAAGAATTACAGGCCTGGAGTGGCAGTGCACACCTGCAATCCCAGCCCCGGGGAGGCTGAGGCAGAAGGATCACTGTGAGTTCGAGTCCAGCCTGGGCTACAGAGTGAGTTCAGGGCCAGCCCACACTGCATAGTGAGACCGTCTCAAAAAATTGAGAATGAATGAAAGGAAGTGGAGCAAAATATTTGTCAGTTTTCATTTCAAGACAAAACTTTTCTCTATACTCCCCAAGAGGACTGTGTTCCTGTTATATAAACGCTGTGCTGAAGGGAGAGTCCGTGTGGGACGCAGGAGGTGTAAGAACACCCTCAGCCTCCTCGGGGCAGCCACGGCCTTCTCCACACACCCGATGCCTGCGTGTCCCCCCCAGCAACATCTGTCTTTGGGTTTGCTCATGAGGCTTCTGTCATATGACTGAAAGAATTTCCTAGGCACTAACATCTTAGCAGTATTGTCTTTCACAACGCCTGGGATATGTGTCACACTGAAAGCCTTCCCTAGCCAGAATTAATTTTTTAAAATTGTTTTATGATTTATTTTGTCATTTTTACATTAAAATTTTTGGTTCAGCTGGAATTTAAGCCTAAGAAATGACAAAGGGATCCAAGTTTTTTTTTTTTAAAAAAAATACCCATTTCAAGATGACTGATTGAAAAGCATACCTTTTCCCACTGGTACTAAGTACTAAACAACATCGTTACATTTCTGGCCTCCAAGGAGCCAGCAATACTTTAAAACTTCATTTAAAACCTGAGCATTCATTTGCTTTTATTTTATTTTTGAGACAGGGCCTCTCTAATGCAGTTCAGGCTGGCCTTGAGTGCACTTTGTAGCCCAGGCTGGTCTTGAACTTGCAACGATCCTCCTGCCTCAGCCTCCTCAGTGCTGGGTTTACAGGCGTGAGCCACCACGCCCAGCTTTCATTTGCTTTTATTTCCAGATTTTTCTTGACTACTTACACATGTGAACTCTGGGCTCAGTTTACCTAGTTACAAGTCTTGTCCATACATCCTCTAAGGTGAATTTAAACTATACATTAATTTTAAAAGAACCAACTTCTTTATAATACTGAATTTCCTTGTTAAAAAATAAAACTAACATGTCTTTTTTGTTCAAGTTTCTGTTTGATTTCTTTAAAGAAAATCAACTTTTCACTAGCTGTTTCTTAATGAACTGAACTAAGACTACTTCAGGCAAAACTCCTCTAAATGAGATGTGTTACTTTTATATAAATATAAACCGACTGCCAATATCTTTTAGTAGAGTTACCTTTTTTGATCAATTTCTTGCTGCTGTTTAACATGCTTATTCTCAAATTCACGAATATTTTCCAGGCCAATTTCTTCACAGAAGTCATGGAAGATTTCATCTTCTATCTTTAAAATTATTTGAAAACAACTGGTTTAATAACCAACTTTAAGGAATACACAGACAATGCTTAAATGTAAGTTTTTCACTCCAAAGTTTTTCTAGATTCAAACAAAAACTACTCAGACCAAGCGTTCTTATCTTTACCCGATGCTTTCTGTTTATCCATAAGCTCTGCCCATTTTCAAGTTTCTTACTGAGGAACTAAATCAAAAGCTATTAACTGGCCTTGTTGGATGTGTTTGGTTTATAGACTGTTAATACAGAGCTCAAAGGATTCCACCTACTTTAGTCTCACCAAAACTTAACTCCCGACTTAACCTCTTTTATGGGGTACACACTGGGGGTTGAAGCTGGGGCCTCGCTCACGCTAGGCAGGTCCTGTGTCACTGAGCTGCAACCCCAGCTCTGTCTGGTCACTGCGAGACAGGCTTTCTCTAAGCTGCCCAGGGTACTCCTGTCTCAGCCTCCTGCGCAGCTAGGATCATGGGTATGTACCATGTATCCAGCTAAGAAACTGCTCATTAAATGAGAGTAATACAATAGTACCTAAGACAGGGGAAAAAAAAAAGAATTAGAACATAGACTTAAGAATCAAAAATATGGGGCTGGGGATTTAGCTCAGCGGCATAAGCGCCTGCCTTGAAAGCAGGCAGTCGTGAGTTCGATCCCTGGTACCGATAAAAAGGAAAAAGACAAAAAAACAAAAACAAAGGTAAGAATCAAAAATATTTTTAAACACCAGAGTGAACTCAATCCAACAAAATAATGTTTAGCCTCAATAGTTTTAAAATCTTGCATTATGTATAATTACAGCATAAGAAAGACCTGTTGAACAGGAGGACCGTTAAAAGCTTTTGGATTTAGGTGAACTGATACTAGATAGAAATCTGTTAAGGCCATATTTTGACACTGTTTTGTTCTGGGTCTGGACAAAAACCACGGCACCAGTCTCTAAACCTAGCCATACATCCACAGTACTGTCAAGTCATTAAAGACACTGGGGATACTTAGCTTGGAGGTAAGTAAGAAGCAGCATAAACAGGACTTCGACTGCGCGAGGAAGACAGAACTAAAAGCCACAGGTGCGAGTCACGACGGCTGTGGAACAAGTAACTCTCCCAGGGCTAGTGAGACCAAGCGTGTCTGTCACTTCACAGGCAGGGGCACAGTGCCCCGGGCCAAGCACTGTGCCTGGCATGAAATAAGTGTTAAAAAGATAATGACCAGCCTGGTGTGCAGCACATGTCAGTAATCACAGCGTGCGGGAAAGCCAGGGGAGAGGGATCTCAAGCTTGAGCCCAGGCTGGGCCACACAGTAGGACCCTGTCTCAAAAACTGAAAAGGGGGTGCAGATGTAGCTCAGCACAGGGGCTCTGGGTTCAGTCCCCAGTACTGCAAAAATGAAAACAGAAAACCCAAAGGAAAGTTCTCTCCCTCCTAGTGTTAAGAGCAGTGGAGAAAGAAAGAGGTTCCAGCTGCTATAGCGGGCCAGGAGAGGCTGGAGAGCAGAACACAGCAGCACTGCTCTTCGTCTCCTAAGAGCGCCTCTCAGAAGAGGCGAGGGAGCATAAAACAGTGGCACACGCCTGTAATCCCAGCACTCTACACCTGAGACAGGAGGGTCGCCTTGAGGTGGAGGCCAGCCTGGCTATGCAGCAAAGCCCTGTCTCAAAAAAAACAACAATAGAAAAAGAATGCAAGGAAACTGATGTGGCAAACTGTGAGACTCAGCTCACCAGCTGCTTCGGATAGGGTGCTGCTGCTGTGTTACCCCCCGCTCTGCACACAGGCAGGAAGCCCTCCATCTGGTGTCCTGTCTGGAACTACAACATTTAGTATTAAATAGAACGCGCATCACCTTATCTATCTTTTCTTGAAATTCTTCAATTCTTTGTTGTTGTTCTTGGATTCCTTCACTTAACATAGCACACTGAGATTCAGTGTTTAGTAGCTCACTCTGTAGCTGAGATTGCTCCTAATAACGAGAAAGGAAAGTTCTCTTTTTAACACAGCCACTGAGAGAGTCCATGAGTGAAGGCGGTTCTGGACAACGGGGTTATAAGGTTAATAAGAGTAATCAAAGACGGTGATATAATCTCACCCCAAGGTACAACACCTAAAAATTACATGTCAACCTATAATTCTTGAAAGTCTGTTCTGGCTCTGATCTCCATCGAACTGTATGTAGGTCTACCTACCCGGTAAGCAGCGGCAAGGTGCTTCTTTTTCAGGATGTCTAGTTCACTCTGTGAGTATCTGAGCCGTGTGTGAGTTCCCTGCGCTAGAGTCTGTATTTGTTTCAGGTCTATTTCCTTGCGGAGTGTCTTCATTAAATCCTAGAAAGGAAGAGAAATCAAGAGCATTCTCCCACAGAAAAGCGCCTCCCCTTTCAAAGTGCTCTCATCTGTCAGCAGACCCACCCGCCTCTCCGTCCTCAGCTAGGCCGCTGCGACTGCAGACCTGCCTCGCCTTGCCTGGTGCGCTGCTCTTATTTGAGAAGGGTTTCCCCATGTTGCACCGGCTGTGTCAATCTCCTGCCTTTCGTCTCTGACTTGCTGAGGCTACAAGTGTGCACAATCACATCCAGTTTGCTACATATTTTCTTGTAATAATTACATCTTTAAAAACATCGGTGATATGTGAATTAAAGTTGTACACTTACTCAAATACAAGAGGGCAGGAAAAAAAAAGTTGTACACTTTTATATTAACTGAATAAGTTTCAACCTACAAATATAGCTTATTTTGCCGGGTGTGGTAGCTCACACCTATTATCCCAGCACTCAGGAGCTGAGGCAGGAGGATCGTTGCAAGTGCAAGACCAGCCTGGGCTACAAAGTGAGCTCAAGGCCAGCCTGAACTGCACAGCAAGACCCTGTCTCAAAAAGACAAAAAAATAGATACATATAGTTTATCTTTTCCTCTAGTTGCATTTTTCCAATAACACCGAGTTTTCCAACCTTGGAATTCCATCCTGATATTACTCTGATTCCTTTTTTTGTTGTCTCAGCAATCAAACTCAGGACCTCGCACCTGCCAGGGAGGCGCTGTGCGCCAGGCTACACCCCGACCGACCCGCTGCAACTTTCTGAGGCCGTTCTGAAAGTCCTGTGTCTTGAGTGTTAGTTGGGCAGCTGCTTCAGTGTCACAAACCAAAACACTTAACTCCCATGGTGATTCTGACTTTAGAGAAGAGACAGAAGTTGCATGGTGCCACGTGATAAGACACTGTGTTTACATCTGACAGACACTGCCATTAACATCTGATAAGGGAACAGATAAAAATACAGTGAAATTTTTGTTTTGTTTTTTGGGACAATGTCTCAGTATGTGGCCCAGGATGGCCTTAACTTGAAGTGATTCTCCTGCCTCAGCCTCCCAAGCGCTAGGATTATAGGTGTGCACCACCACACTGGGCTGAGTGTTTAAATTATAACATTTAATACAGTAAAAGATGCTTGTCATTGACCCATGGGAAATATCCTCCTTCACCCCACTGCTGTTCACACTGTCTCTTTTAATAGGTTTTATAAATGTGAGCATTCACTTTTTTGGTCGCCTTTGGTAACAAGTTATACAGCATGGGCCAGACGTAGTTTTGAAACATCCGTGTATTTGCGCATAGATCTCATCTCCCATTAAACAGCTCTTCATTCCTCTTCTCTAGCCGCTGGAAGCCATCATTCAGCTCTGTGCCTCCGTACCTGACTTTCTAGGGACCGCTTATTAGTGGAATCACAGAGGATCTGTGCTTTGTGACTGGTTTATTCTCTTTAGTAAAATTTCCTCGAAGTTCCCATGTTGCAGCATATGCCAGACCCCCCTTCCTCTCTAAGGCTGAGGAGTGGTCCAGTGTGTGGAGCCCAAATCACCCTCACCAGGGTCAGGTGAGACAGGGAACTCAGTGCAGATGCGGCTAAGGAGAAAGACGCTTTTAGAGTTCCCCATCTTCTCAGAATGCTCCCTGCGCCCGGGCCTAAATGTACGACCTTTTTAAAAGGTGAACATTTATATTTATACCTTAGACTAAAACATAGAATGCTTTACACTTACAGAAAAGACTAAAATCAGTCAAGTAACCCTGTCACAGTCCCTCCTTCAATCAAAAACTGCTATCTTTGTATACAAAAGTTGCCAGTTAACTAGAAAAAATGAAAACACAATTTGAAAGCATTCTTTGCACCTGGTACCAATTAAAGGTGATATTTACAGGAACAATGATCACAGTATTTCACACCTGTGCCTTCTACAGGGTGGAGATTCAGCTCTAGATGACTTTCTTTTGCAATCTTCAGAATTAGGTCTACATATGACAATGCTTTAATCCAGAAGTTATGAAAGATTTATGATTTGGCTAAAGATCATGCATGCATGACACAAAGAACAACATAAAACGTCAAACACAGTTGGCAGTAAACAGGAACAAACTCTAAAAACAGGCTCCATGAAGGAATTATGGCCAGGCCTCCTCCCATGAATCCCAGAAGGGAGAAACTGGACCGACAAGGAGGGGGCTGGGATGGTGGGCCGGGGGGACCCGGGAGGGTGAGGGCGAGAAGGGAGCACAGGGGAGCCCTGCGTGGTGACAGCGATGCCCTGTACCTCACTGCGGGAGCAGTGACATGACCACATGCCCCTGCTAAGACGCACTGACCTGTTGCTGTGTGTGAGTTACATCCCAGTAAACCCAACTAAAAATTCAGAGAAAACACAGCTCAAGTGACTGAGGACAAACATACTTGCTATATAAATAATTCTTAAAATAGGCAATAAAATAACAACTCAAATGCTAAACATACACCGGAAATTTGCACTTCATTTATAACTTATTTTTACTTAAAAAACCAGCTAGTTTAAAAACACAATTATGTTCCTTAGTAGTTTGAAACTTGTATGACATAGATTTACCTTCAGCTCTTGGGCCAGCTTGCTTCTCTGGTCTCTTAGATTCTTTAGCTCTTTTTCATCCCAGCATCTAGCCTTGTGTTTTAAATCACTTGATCCTCCAGAGACGACCCCAGATTTTAAAAAGAGTGTTCCATCAAGAGCCACTGTCTATAAAATTAAAAATATTTTATCTTGGAGAAAAGTACACAAAAAGATGAAAATAAGGGACACAATGTGGCAATTTTTACAGCTAATAATTCTTATTTTATTTTTGAGAATTTTTAGATTTAAAAAATGTACTATATTTTACTAATAAAATATCTATTTATAAAGGAACACCACTAAACAAACCACCAATATGAAAGCCATTTAATGAAGACCCAAAGCAATTCTTGGCAACAAATTAGTAGTAAATATCAAGTTCAAAATGGACGTACATTAGTTCCAAATATACTCAATACTGAGAAGCAAACACTAGGACTCGTTACACTTGCTATCAAATAGCTTGCATCGCACACTCCTGTTCCGAAGCCCCTGATATGCATGTTAATGGAATGTGAAAGTGGCCTTCCTAGCCGGGCGTGACGGCGCACACCTGTAATTCCAGCTCTGGTGGGGCTAGGCAGCAGGACTGGCTTGAGCTCAAGGCCAGCCTGGGATGGCTACATAGTGAGCTCAAGGCTGGTCTAACTACATGGTGAGAACCTGTTCTCAAAAAAAAAAAAAGAGGCCATCAAGAAACCAAATAATAACCACAGTTCCTCTGAGTTACACGCTAAGCCACCTACGTTATGATTTTAAACTTACTGCACTGTGTCTTGGAGACCACTCCATACCTGTACACAGACAGCATGTGTCTTTTTTAGAAGCTGCACACTGTTCTATCACATGAGTGGGTAGGATGGCTGGCTGGCTTTCTTGCTTGCTTTCTTTTTTGTGACAGGGCCTTGCTATGTAGTTCAGGGTGGCCTCAAACTTGTGTTGATCCTTTGGTCTCGGCCTCACAAGTGCTGGGATCACAGTGTGCACCACCACTCCCAGGTATATACAGGCTTTATATTTTTATTTAACCAGTCTTACACACATGAGTTAGTTCCAAGTTTTCTTAGTACACACAATGGTTCAGTGAACACACATTTCATAAATCTGTAAGTTCATCTATATCTAAGTCCCTACAAAAACTACAACAGGTAGAACTGCCCATCATGGAGATGTAAATTTATACTCTCACAGCCCTACATAGAAGAGCCACTCTCCACATAGATGTTACTGAATTTTTGATCATGGTCAATCTGATAAGTAAAAATACTACCCCCCCAGTGTGGATTGAATGGTTCTTTTCCATAATACTGCGTGAGACAGAATGAGCATGCATATTTCCTTTGATAAAAATAGTCAATGTTTTATGTGTGTGTATGGATATGTGTTACTGTCGGCTGAAGCCGGGGCCGTTATAGTATGGTATGGTATGGTATTTTTGGTCTTTTTGAGACAGGGTCTCACTATGCAGTTCAGGTTTGTAGCCCAGGCTGGCCTTGAACTCACAGCCATCCTCCTGCCTCAGCCTCCCAAGTGCTGGGACTACAGGCGTGTACTACCATGTTTTGCTCTTTTTTATGTTTTAAAATAGGGTTACATTAAATTGTTAAATTCCCCGGGCTGAGCTCACATTTGCAACCTTCCTGCTTCAGCCTCCCAGTGCTGGGATTATGGGTTGTATGTTACTGTACCTGAGTGTTCATATTCTTTGCTCATGTCTTCCTACTATTCTTCTTACTATGATTTGCAAGAAATTTTGCTCTTTGAGTCACAAATATTCTCAATTTGGCATTTTTCCTTTGATTTTGTTGATGATTGTATTTTTCACTGCAGGGAGCCAAACCCAGGCCTCACAAATACCAGGCAACAGCTTCCCACTGGAGCTACGTTCCCAACTCTGCTTACAGTAGTTTTTGCCATGCAGAAATTCTTTATGTCGGTTTATCCACCTTTTATAGTGTTTGCCACACTGAAAAGGCTTTCCTATCTGAGATTAAGAAAAAATTTCCCTACAAACTTATACAGTTCCACTTTTTACATTTACAAATCTAACATACCTAGAACTTACTCTTAAATAAGTGTGAAATGTAGCATTCCCAGCAGAACTGAAACAGGTAGTTTTAGTCACTTTCTGTCCGGGTTCTTTTGTTGTTGTTCTGGAAGTGAACCCTGGGTCACACATACACCAACCATTTGCTCTACTGCTGAGTTACATCTCAGGTCCTGTTTAATTTTTTTAAAAAATGACCTTTTTACAAGTTGTGGAGCTCCTTAGTGACATTTTTCTGGGTGCATTTTAAAAGGGCAATGTATAAAAGAGCTTTCTGGGTGTTTTAAAGTAACAATTAACTTGTATATGGGTGAAGGAAGCAGATACCTGCGGCAGCTCTGGATTGGGTGACGGAATCCATGGACAGAATAATCATATACACATAGAGACTCTTTTTTTTTTTGGTCTTTTTCCTTTTTATCGGTACCAGGGATCGAACTCATGACTGCTTGCTTGCAAGGCAGGCGCTTATGCTGCTGAGCTAAATCCCCAACCCCTACACCCCAACACATAGAGACTCTTGGTTTTAAAATGTTGATACCACCAGGCATTGTGGCGCATGCCTGTAACCCCAGCCCTTGGGAGGCTGAGTCAGGAGAATCATGGTGAGTTCACGGCCAGTCTGGGTTATACAGTGAACTCAAGGCCACACAGTGAACTCAAGGCGAGACCTTATCCTTCCAAAAATATGTAAAATAAAATACTGACCTATGTTTTAAGAGTACTTAAAAATTGAGTTATCACAAAAATATGGTACCCAAATTATAGCCAGCAGAGCTTCTGTGGTTTGCAGTATGTAATGTATATGTACTACATCCACAATTAAAACAAAATATTTTCTGATGTCACTTGCAATGTTCAAAGAAAATTTCAAAATATGACATTATCCATGGAAAATCAAAAGCATAAATTCTAGACAATGATTCCTATGAAAATGTGAGATCTCTCTTACTGTTCTAACCAACCTAAAACAGAAAAAATACAAAGTCCCTCAAATGTAGTTAAGATACAAATAAAACTGAATTTCTCAAATACTACCTAGGTAAGAACAAAACACAGGGATAAAGCATGTTCTTATGGATAAGAGAGAAACTAAATACTTACTATATGAATAAAGAGTTTTATATTCATACAACTTCTTTAAATTAACTGTACACATCTTTAAAAGTCAATTTTACAATGTTTTTTTTTTTTAATTTTACAATGTTTTACAAATACACGTCACTTTTAGTAGAGTTAATTAGGTAGCAAAAATAAGGAAGAGATTTCTATATCTCTCTTATTACTCCTATTTAAGTTTAATATGTAGAAATCAATGACAGAGATTACTAAAAAAAGTAATGACCTCATTAACAGTATTACTGATAAAGCACCAAAGTGAATGAAGAGCTAATTTTGTCAGGAAAATGATGGAATCTAAGGCTGGAAACTCTCATGTCTCTAAGAATAGCTTGCTCTGTATGAATCTGCACTTCTGGACCCTGCAGGTGAATAATCAAATGACTGCCACACTTCCAGTGCTCTCTGCCAGGTGCTGTCATCGCATCACACCTGGTGTCACCTAATTTACCTCTCGACTCCCATGAAGGCTCAGGAGCCTGCCTGATTGCTACATTCCTAAAGCACCTCCAGACTTATTTTATAGTCTATACCCCCTAGGCATTATTTACCTTCATCATAAATGTCATTTTAAAAAACATGTAATTTGAGGACTTTAACCCTGCTCAACTAAATACACACTATTCAAATGTAAATACAATAATTTTTATTAAAACCAAAACTATTTTCTTGAAAGACTACCACAGGAATCTCATTTCAACTGTTCTATTATACACTGAATTGTATTAAACTTTGATATATAACATAGTGCTTCCATTAAACATGTAAGAACCCTGCGTGTAAAGCAAGCACCTAAAATTTCTCTTTCTGTTTAAAAACGTATTTACTATATAGGAAAATGCATGGAAAATCTGGGGTTTAGCAAAAATACATTTTTTGGACCAGAAATTGAACTCAGGACCTTACACTTGCCAGGCAGGTGCTGTGCTGCTGAGCTGTATCCCCAGGCCCCTAGCAAGAACACTTATTCCATATAAATTAAAAAGAAATCAACTATTTCAGGGTATTATAGTAAGTCTAATTTCTAGCATATAATTCTTGATGTTAGGAAATGCTACATAAGTTAATTTCTTAAAAACTCAACATTATAAAAACTACTGAAGTGATCTTATATTCCACATTGATTTTTTTGTGTGTGTGTGTACATGTAGTTGTGGGGATTGAACTCACAACCTTGCACTTGCCAGGCAGGTGCTTACACTGCTGAGCTAAATTCCCAGACCAGATTTTTCATATATATATATTTTTTTCATATATATTAACATCACATATAAATATTTTTCATATATATATGAAAGCACATATAAATGTATGTATGTAGGGGAATCTTATAAATACAGGTTCAACTTAACCAAAGGTGAGCCAGGCCTGGTGACACACACCTGTAATCCCAGCACTCAGGAGGCTGAGACAGGAGGATCCTTGTGAATTCAAGGCCAGCCTGGGATACAAAGCAAGCTCAAGGCCAGCTTGAACTGCACAGTGAGACCCTGTCTCAAAAAGATAAAAAATGAGACAAAAGCAGAAACAGCTTAGCCACAGGTGCAGGCCCAGTTTCTCTCTTACCTTTCGTCTTTCGGGTCCCCCAAACGCAGTGTGCCTCGCTTCTTCCACCGTCTCGCAGACGAGCCCGTTCCCACACACAAACTGAATCACTCTCTTCAGCGGAGGAAACTGGGTCTTTATGACATCAACCATCATCTTACAGCCCTTAAGTTCCCTCAGTCTTTCATTGATCGGCTTGATCTGCAAGGGTTAAAAATACTTCATATGTTAGTAAAATACAAGTCAAGTACTTGTTACATTCCCATAAAACAGAGACAACAAAAGATCAACAGCACGCGTTCATACACAACCAAAGCTTGACGAGGACGTGAGAAGCTGCACCCATATTGTCTCATGCAGTATTTTTAAACACTACCAGCCTTAATCAAAAGAAGACAGACTTCCCAGAGTAGACACTGGTGAAGTCCTTTATTATTTAATGATGTGCTTCATGCTGTCCAGATCCCAAAATCCAAGAGAAAACAATACCCATTTAAATATGTGTCAAAAGAGCAGCATAACGCTGCGGAAACTTAAAAACCATTCTAGGCTTCAAGGATGGAGGAAGTCTTCAGACCTCCTTAGACATGACTTTCAGGTTGGGTTTACAAATCAAAATTTTTAAAAACTTGCAATGTGTTACTGAAAACCAGGAAGTATGGTCTCATTTTAGTTAATAAAAAAAAAAAGCAAAAACACTGTACTTACTGAAACTATGTATAATTGGGGACATATATACATATACACACATATATACACGTACTTATATAAACTGAGTAATGGGAAAGCATTTAAAAGTAGTATAAAGAGATGAGCACTGAGAAGAGGGGGAAGTATTCCTTTTGTACTTGATATGCTTCTGTCTTAGATTTTTAAGAAATCTCAAGTAAGCAGTGAGTAAAACAGGACTGGAAGAGGCAGATAAAGTCGGGTAAGAGAAGGTAGTGAGCAGGGTGTAAACGGAGGCACGGGGGCACTTGCCCCACTCCTCCTCTACACAGGTGCTACACAGTGGGGTTCACACATCAGCTGCGGACCTTTGTCCTCCACTTCACAGATAAGAGACTGGAGCTCAGGAAAATCAGGACCAAATTAAGAAGGTTTAGGCAAAGGGCTGAGAGGCAGGCCCAGGGGAGTCCAGCTCCGTCACATGGGCACTTACCAGCCACGTACTCAGGCTGCAGGGCAGGGTTCTTGACTGCTGGACCAAAAAGTTTTTTTAGTAGGCCAAGGAAAATCACTGATGGATACCAGTCATTTAATAGAATTCTGGATTCAGGCTAGGTAAAGCATGTCAATACACAGCCAAGCTCAAAATTTGTCCTGCAGCACCCAGAGCTGCAAACTGGACCAAATGTTTCTACGTGAGACTGAGCTGGCCTTTTACCAACAGACCACACATGCCGTGGGCCTCTGCTGGTTCCCCACGCAGTAAATGCACTGCTGGCCAGCAGGCAGCGGGGTGCAGTGACAGCTGTGGACTCAGAGACGGACTCAGAGACACTAAGTCAGAGTGGTGGCCAAACTGAACTAGGAAGACACGACACAGTGTCAAGGAAGAGAACACACTACCCATCTACCACCCAGCACCAGATGGCTAACTGCGCACAGGCATCTGTGCTACAATTTGTCCCAGTGTGGCCACAGTTCTGGGCAAGAAAGTAAAGAGACAAGATACGATGACCACTCAATACCAAAGTTGCAGCTTTCTTACATCGAGGTAATCCAGAGCGAGGAAGGTCTCAGGTTCAGCCCGCTCCTCCTTCAGAAACCGAATGCAGTCTTTTGCCACCTTTTCAGAGGCTACTACGATGGCAACCATGTACCGGCCAAAGATCTTAGTCACAGCCAGCTGGTACTTCTTATGAATGGGGTGACACAGATCCAGCAGCCTTCCAAACTGCACAGGTTTCAAAAGGAAAGAGAAGACAAATACACGCTGAGAAGCACAATTTTGCTTTCTAATAGTAAGGAAGCACAGACAGAATGGCTGCAGTTCTGTGCAATGACACACACATCAGTCGCTCATTCCGTGGGAAGCAGGGGTCAGTACGCAGTGGCCACTGAGGCGGACGGCATTTCATCTAGTCTCACTTAAGTATCACAATTTTTTATAAAAGTACAGTTATTAAGTAATAATAGCAAATCGTATTCATTCATTCCTTTTTTCACTTGGAAAGAATCTATAAGGCATCTACTATATTCTGGGACTGAACTAGACATTACTGAACAAACAGCTTCTAATCTCATAAAGTTTTCAGCATAGTAAGGAAAAAAATAATAAAAAGGATGTAGAAAGCAGAGTTAGATATGGTAATAAAGTTTAGAGTGCTGTAAGGGTACAGTCAGGGACTAGGTTGGCCTAAGAAATCTGAAGGACCCTTGCCCAAAGCAGTGTTATTTGAGCTGATATCCTCTGAGTGGCCAAAGCTGGGTACAGTAGTAAACACCTGTAACCCAGTACTCTAGGGAAGCTGAGGCAGCAGGGTTGCAAGTTTGAGCCCAGCCTGGGGAACTCCATGGGACCCTGTTTTAAACAACAGAAAACGGTTGGGGATGTAGCTCAGTGTAAATGCCCTGGGCTCAACACTTAGTACTGCCCACCCCCACAGGAAAAGTATTTGAAGCTAAAAAACCTTTATTAGAAAATATCTGAGTATAAATCATCCAGACCCCAATGCTCTAATGATTTAATTTTATAGTTTTGTACTGTGTTCTATTTGTTGTTTTACTTTAGGCATACCAGTTTTGTTTTTTTTTTGTCTTTTTCCTTTTTATCTGTACCGGGGATCGAACTCACGACTGTGTGCTTGCAAGGCAGGCGCTTATGCTGCTGAGCTAAATCCCCAGCCCACCAGTTTTCTTAAGACTTTTTCTGTTTCCAATGTTTTTTTTCCCATTTAAATCTCTTTGTCTTTTCTTTTTCGGGATGACAATTTTATTTCTGGCTGTGTATTCTACCCTTCAATATTTTTTACCTATTAGCCTGTTATTAAGTGTGGGTCGTTGTCTATAATAACGTCTGATCTTGTCTTCTCAGCTCTGCATTTTTTAAATTAGTTTTACCTCACATTTGAATCTGTTTTTAGGATTTCAGCTCTTACTAAATTGTCTATGGCACAAAATACGGGGAACTCTGTGGTGTCATATCCTAACCCTGGCTTTCCCCCTCCCCTGCATACACTGAGATGCATCCCCGCAGTGGCTGCGATGACCCCCTCCCTCTGTGCATGTGGCAGCATCTGCTGGGATGCAGAAGCCTTGGCTCCCTTCCCACAGAACCCAGATGCTCACCTCTGCTGAGCAACAGCTGAGAGCAGGGACAGTGCCCCTGTTCTAGCCACATCCCTATCCCCCGTGGATTCAAGAGTGCAAGGCTCAGGTGAGAGCTGGCCGGGCTCTGCTTGCCTGAGTCTCTGGCTCCACCCTTCCTTCTGGGCTTTTCCTTAGTGTCGCATACCTGGGTTCCCCTTCAGGGCAGGAAGACACCGCTCGCTTTGGAGAGAGGCCTTCAGCTCGGTGAGGAGCCAGAGATTCTTCACTCCCACCAGAGAGCACTAGGGTTGTTTCCTGATTCATCCGTTTTTTAAGTCTAACTCTCCACACTTAGGGAAAGGAAGCAAATACCGCGCACAACTTTTCTCCTCGGGGAGACCCAGGAAACGGGAGTGAATTCTCAGGGATTGGTCAGTTTATCGGTTTAACTTAAACAAAAGTCCGGAACTGTTGCCCTTTCCTGAGGTTGTTCCCTAGGTTGTTCAGCTGTTGAGCCGCTGTTTTGTTTTGTTTACTAACTTTTGGGATTCTATAAGAAATTCAGGGATTGCGAGTCTGGGACCCAGCCTTATCCCTGCATCATTATTCACAGGCCAAGGCCAACATTTAAAGAGTCAGAAAGAAGAAAAACAAGGCTATAAAGGAGATGAATAGATGGTGGACAGACAGGCCAGAACTAAACATGAGCGCATTCACCGTGGGGGCCACCGACAGAGGTTCAGAAACAGAGCAGTGGTGAGCAGCACCAAACACTGCCAAGGGACCGTCACAAAGCTAGGAAGCCATGGCATACTGGGCTCAGCAACAGGAGTCAGACGCCACATTCCTGGTGCCACATGAAGTGACAGTGTGAGGCTGACATCCCCACAACATGGGAGGATCATCACACCCTGCCTGCAAAATACATGTGGTAATCCTGGATGCGGCCTGACTTAGAGAATGAAAGTATGCTAGTGGCATCCACTGCAGGGGACGGGGCTTAGACTGCCTGGGGACAGCCAGGGCCCTCAGGGACACTCGTCCGCACGTGAGCCACTGGCACTGCCTCTGTATCACGCTTCTCCCTAGTACGTACTCATCTACAAACACTGTGCAAAGTTGGTTTCCTCTTACCCTCGTTATACTGTGATATTTACGCAGGAATAAACCATCAAATACAAGACACAATTGATTTCTGAACTACCTCAGTACCACAAAAGTAAACTAAAAACAGACGTTCTGAGCTAAGATCTCATAGTGATAACATTCCTAACCCGAGAAAGATCCCTTTCCCCAAAAGAACAGGCCCAGCACTTCTGCTTTACTCCTTCTGGTTACCACGGAATCCGGGTACAGCCTCTTAAGGTGCTCCAGCACCTCTGCTCTCTTGAGCTCACGCTTGCCCTCGTGGTTATCAATTCCCGCATTCTGCAGGTCACTCATAATACGATTCAATTCTTCATTAACTTCAGACATTCTTGATTTTGCTTTTCCGATTTCATCCAACAGGGTTTCCTCTTGCTGTCTTTTCTCTTCCAAGAACTCCCTAAAAGACAACAACGAATTATATAGCAAAAGGATAAACCAAAACTTAAAAACTACAAATGCAACACACTCTTGCCTGGATTTGCAACAGAACACAGTAGTGCTCTCTTAGTTTTTAAAGGCTTAAAAAATACAATGTAATATATCTAATACCAAACATGGACAAAGGACCTCTTAATCACTCTTTATTGATTCAAAAACTACATTTTTTTAAATACTGAAAAAATAAAAACAGCTAACTTCAACCAGAATAATCATCATGCATTTGAAAGTAAGGAAATGCCAATTAAAAACAAATCCTCAGTGGTAAACTACCTAGGTTGTGTTAGCTCTCACCACATAACTCATTACTTCTTCATAAAATACTAATACTAAAAGGGATCATCACTGCTGCTCAATTATATCTTCAAAATTGAAATATTGTGGTTAAGATTTTATGATCTGGGGCTGGGGATTTAGCTCAGCGGCATAAGCACCTGCCTTGCAAGCAGGCAGTCGTGAGTTTGATCCCCGGTACCAGTAAAAACGAAAAAGAAAAAAAAAGATTTTATGATCTACAGTGTAATGAAAACAATGGGGCAAAAACACTGCTGAAAGATGGGAACATCTTCTGATGCACAGAAATACACTGGACTCTAAAGACTTAACAGGTTCAAAGTGTTTTTCCCTCTACTTACATGCATGTCTTTGTATATTCCTCCAACTTATCTATTCGCTTTTTGTGATCTTCTATTTGTTCTTTTATTTGTTTTAGATTTCCCTAAAACAGGAAATGAACCCTAAAGTCAATTAGCAATTCCAAATAAAATCACATCTCAAAGTTACCACACTGTAAGCTGTTATGAATTTGAACTGTATCAAATACGGTTAAGTGAAAATAGTCATGAAAGCCAATTTTAATTTTGAAAAGCCAATCAGGTTGACAATACAGCTAAACTATTACAGCCATTCAAGAACCTTGACTTAAAAATTTAAAAGTGCTGGGGACCAGTAAAGAGTTTAAAATGATCAGGTTTTGGGGCTGGGAATATAGCTCAGTTTGAGATGCTGAGGAAGCAGATGAATATGTCCAAGGTTGGAGTTTTAAGGGCTGAGCTGGAGATAAAAAATCTGCAGTGTGGTATTTAAAGCTGTGTGGCTACAGATTGCCAAGGTGGTGACTGCAGGTAAGAGAAAAAAAAAAAAAAAAAAAGAATGGGAACATAATAACATCCACCAATCAGTTTTTGAAGACAAACTGGGTTTTTTCGTTTTGTTTTTTTGGTACCGGAAACTGAACTCATAACCTCGTGCTTGCCAGACAAGCACTGTGCCACTGAGCTGTACTATATGTAAATAAATGCTGTATTATAATGTCACAATGCCCAGAAACTCTATAATGAATTGCTCTTATGTTGAATGTGCTATAAAAATTTTGTAGCCGAGCCCTCAGTCTTTAGAAAGAAGGTCGTAATGCATTAGAGGCGGAGACTAGATGCTTGGTGACCTGTCCCAGTCATTTACACCTGGTCAGCCTGCTATTATCACAAGGGAAACAAGGCCATCCTTACTGTACAAATGAAGGAATCAAAGGTCAGAGGAGTTAATAATTCAGTTATCTGTTGCGACTGTACACATTAAGCAGAGACTAATGCTGCTGGAGGCCCGGTGTGCCTCAGTGAGGCACAGCCTCATCTTGCTGTCTTGCTGATAACTCCTGCTGTGCTTTAACTAGCTGCTCTCAGGTGACAGTCGCTCCTCCACCCCTCGGGAGCTGATTCCAGAGCCTTCTGTGTTACATGATCCTCATGTCCCTGGTATGGAACAGCAGCACCTGAGTACAACCTGCACACATCCCCCATGCTATGCATTTTAAATCCTCTCTAGGCATAATACTGTACTTAGGAAACAATGACAGGAAAAGTCTGTAAATGTTCAGTAAACAGGTACTTTTTTGAATTTTTTTTTTTTTTTTTTTTTGGTCTTTTTCCTTTTTATGGGTACCAGGGATCGAACTCACGACTGCCTGGTTGCAAGGTAGGCGCTTATGCCGCTGAGCTAAATCCCCAGCCCCAAACATGTACTTTTTTCCCCAAATATTTTCAATCTTTGATTGGTTGAATCTACGGAAGCAGAACCCCAGGAGAGAGAGGGCAGGGGTGCATCAGTCTTGAATGCTTTCAAATGACTCTACGCTCATCTCCACTAGGGTACTTACCTGTTTCCTCTATGCGTCCTCCTAAGCTTACTGGAGCAAAAGACATGTAAGGAACGGGCTGCATCTCATGAACGTGCTTCCCCCTACTCAGATGCCCAGACAACACTGAGTGCACAAATTAAAGCACCACCTTTTCCCACTGCCACCATAAAACAGCACCTAAATAATACTAGGAGCAGAATGCATAATCCAAAATGTTTTTTTCTTTTTGCAATGATAGCAATCAAACCCAGGGCCTCAATTCTCTACCACTGAGTTAAACCCCAGTCTCTCCGCACTTTAAAAACTTTAGGTTTGAGTAAATGCATTTACATGTAGATTGAAGTTAATAAACAAGGGAATATGACTTGGCCGACAGCTGTCCTAAATCATTTCCGCACACCCGAAGTACCTGAACTTCTCCGTGCCGCCTCTTCTCCAGCGCCAGCCTTTCTTTCTCTGCCTTCTGCTGCCACTGCAGCTTCTCCAGCTGTTGAGTCATTATGGCTACCTTCTTTCTTACTTGTTCCTTAAGTTCCTTATAACGATCCAGCTACATAAACAGCATCGAAACATTGCTGACTCACAGCAGCACGGGGGAAATGTCTTTGTAGGACATCCTGGGCTAGCAGATTACTCATCAAAAGCGTGTTTTATATAACTAGACGATAATTAACCATTTTCTCCAGGTAAAATATGTGAACATAATGTGAAAGTCTCCTAGCCTTAACCTCTTTAGATAGAGCATTACGATATTCAAAACAAATGCTTCCTAAAACTAAGAACCTTTAAGAGTGCCAGGCGTGGTGATGAATGCCTGCAATCCCAGTACTCAGGAGGCTGAGGCAAGAGGGTTGCCATGAGTTCGAGACCAGATTGGGTTACATGGTGAGTTCAAGGCTAGCTACACTACACAGCAAGACCCTATCTCAAAAGAAAAAAAAAAAAACACTAAAGGAAAAAAAAGAGAATCTTAAGAGAGAAAAGAAAATCCAGAAAAAATGATACATCTTTTTCTATTTATACATCCACAATTATTTTGGCATGTTATAATGTAAAATTATCATAAAATGAAAAGATAAATGATAAAGTTTAGTCAAGAGGCTTGAAAATTCTGAATCACATCATTTTGATATTTACTATTAACTTACTGTAACTATTACATGCTATACTAAGTTGGGTATTACCCTGTCACTGATCATTTTAAATCACCTTACATAATCATTTTCCTTTCTGTCAATTAAATGTCTTCAACAACACATATTTCTGACCTCTAGGTTTTTATAATATCATGAGAAAAACAATTTACTTTAAAAATAACTCTGCTAATTCTCTAAGTTTAATTATAATTTATACCAGGTGCTCTTACGTTCTACGACTTTAATGTATAAATGTTATAATGGCATCTATCATATAAAGAAAAACTTGCTTAGTCTAAAGACTATGCATACAGATTTATAATTTTAAATTCTAATAATTTACATTATGAAGATATCTCTTAAATAGCAGAGAAACTGTCCTTTAAACTTTCTGACTAAAAGGATAAACTGAAACAATTAAGACTGATTTTCTACGTGCGGGCTTTTTCACCTGACTGGCTTCCAGCTCAGCGCCTCGCTCTTTGTGTAAGAACTCTTTAGTCTGCTCTTCGAAGCTCTTCCACGCACTGTCTAAGTCAGCCGCCTCTGTCTGCAGGGCTCGTATGTCACCTTCCTGCTTAGAGCACTGCTCTTCACAGTCCTTTATTGATTTCTTAGACAGCTCCAATTTCCTGAGGTGGTGAGAGGTATTTTCTTTGGCTTTAATATACTGAGGCCTTTTCTGATTTAAAAGTGTTTCAAGAGATCTAAAAAGGAAAAAGATTTTTTGAAGAAAATAAATTCTGTTAATATACAAATGGAAATTCTTCTGTTCAAATCACATTTGAAACTGAAGACTATGAATCAGCTCTAAAGACTGTTCCGATCGATAGCTGCCAAAGGTTGGGCAAGTTGAGGGAAACTTTAGAGAGTACTTACATGATGAATTTCCCCCAAACTGTAGAACCTCGCAGCACCATTTTAATGTAGATTTTTTTACATAATCACATGACCCTGAGGGGTACCAGATGAAATGTACAATGTCACAAAAGCATGTAAGTATGTTACAAATATATTAAACTTTAATAAAGAAGTGTGAAGAAGACCTACTGGCTTAAAGTATGTCTGGACTCTCTAGCGTCAACCAAGGGACTTACACAGAACACTGCTCTAGTTACAAACTGCTCCCGTGTGCTGTACATGATGATGGGAACTGAACAATGAAGTAAATCAATGGCCAATTTCTCACTGCTGAGAAGGGATTTCAAAACAAGAGCAGGTCGGCTGTCTATATGGTGATACATTACATTTGGGAGACATCAGTGCCAAGTCAACTCTTAGCTTAGTACAGACCCATGGCTACATGTGGAAACACCGACAGGCAAGTGTATCTGTGAGTCTGTACACACACGTCCTAGTGCTGTCAGCCAAGAAAGACCGCGCACTCGCATGTAATGTTGGCTCCTAAAAAACCATTCACCAACAAGAGGAGCCAGCACTCCTAGGCGAAATGCTTGGTTCCAGACCTGGGGCAGCTCACAGCACGTACAGTACAGCCGTGCTGAAAACTCCCAGTGATAGGCTATGTCAAACCAACATGGAACCAACTCAAGGAGTTCTCAGTGCCTGCAGGGGATCCGATGTTGATATGACACAGAACCAAGACACACGTCACAACACAGATAACACGCTGACATCTGATGAGAACAGCATTCTACCTCTGTAGACTTCCTCTCCAGATCCATGATGCCAATCTAACTATGAGAAAACCGTCAGACAAATCCCAAATGAGGGTCATTCTACAGAAAGCCTGGACCAACACTGCTGAGAATTATCAAGCTCATCCAAACATGGGAAGCCTGAAACAGCTCCACAAAGATGATTTGGGTTTTCCAGTTACAGGTTCTCACAGGCCCATGTACCCTTCCTTCAGAGCACTTTGCAAATATGAGTGATGATTTTACAATGTCATAGACTGAACTATGAAGCTGTATGCTCTATGACGACAAAGTGAAGGTCTAATTTACCACTGATTATACCCTGGAAGAAAGAGGATTCTTTTCCACTGAATAAATGAATGAATAAAAAAATCAAAGAAAGCCTCAAAACTGTCAGAGACACGGAAAACAGACACTGAAATGTACTGTGAAATGTTCTGGGTCAGGAAAAGGACATGAGGTACACACTAGGAAATAAAGAAAGTATGGATTTTAATAATAATGTATCATATTGTTATAGTAAGTCTGAGAAATGCAGCATACTGAGATGTTAATAAGAGAAACAGCACAGGAAATATGGGATTCTACTCTTTCTGAATACACAAAAATAACCCAAAGTAAAAAGCTCATTTTGTTTTTGTTTTCTGAGACAAACCATGTTGGTTCCTGGACTTGAACTCACCAGGTAGCCCAGGCTGTCTTTAAACTCACAGTGATCCTCCTGCCTCAGTCTCCAGAATGCTGGGATTACAGGTACGTGCCACCATGCCCACTCAAAAACTCATCTTAAAAAATCAACTTTCCTAGCTGGGCAGGGTGGTACTTGCCTGTAATTCCATCACTTGGGAGGCTGAGGCAGGAGAATCCTGGTGAGTTCGAGGCCAGCCTGGACTACATAATGAGTTCAAGGCAGCCTGAACTGCATAGTGAACTTTTTGTCTCCAAAAAAGTCAACTTTTCAACTGCCACTTACATTTTCTCTCTCTCTACATGAAACCCAAATGTTGATAGCTATTTTCAAAAACTCACTTCAGTTCCTTCTCTGTGTGTTGCAGCTGCCTAGTTAGCACCCCATGTTCCTTCTTCTTGGCCTTCACTATGTCTTCATGATGAGCCCGCGACTCTTCTGTGGCGCTCAGATCCCTGTTCACGTGCTCTAACTCGACGATCAGGGAATGAATTGTTTTCTCATTATGATACAGCTGGAAGAGCTGCAGTTGTATCTTGTTTAGTTTCAGCTCTTCGAGGAGACTTTGGTAACGCTCTGCCTATAAAACAATCCAATGTAAGTTAGAAGGGAGGCTATTTAACGACTTCCCGCACACTCCACTGCTGTACCCCGCTCTGGTCCATAATGCGTGCTTGTTTATGAGAAACAGTGCTCTTGACAAAAGTGGCATTATTTGAATGCTTCCTGGATACACCTCTAAAATAAGCCAGTAAACTACTGGATGGTTCTGAATGAAGGCGCTGAGTGCTAATGCTAGTTTAACAATGGAACAGCAGCTGCTACCAACTGTCCTTCGCCAGTTTGTCTTGAGAAGTCCACTAACATTCCCTGGCATCCACTTCCTCATTTGTAAACTGAAGATGACTGTTACATGGCTACACACTTCCTACAACTGTATTTATTTATTGGTACCGGGAATCTAACTCAGGATCTTCTGCTTGCCAGGTAGGTGTTTGTGCTGCTGAGCCATATCCCAGGCCCTTCCTATCAACTTTAAATTCAATGATTTTGGATAAAGTTAATACTGTGAGGCATGTGTGGTGGCACACGCCTGTTATCTCAGCACTCGGGAGGCTGAGGCAGGAGGATCACTACGAGTTAAAGTCCAGCCTGGGCTATAAAGTGAGCTCAAGGCCAGCCTGAACTGCACAGTGAGACTCTGTCTCAAAAAAATAAAAATACTATGGGAAGTAATTTTTCTACTGATAAAAATAGGACCAATGGAAGTTGTAGTAGTAATTTACTTGATTATAATTCATATCGTATGAGAAAAAAATATCCTTAATATTGATCTGTGCTATTAATAAAGAAAGGAAAGACTGGACCACTTCAAGAGGAGAGGTCCTAGTCAATGAAGTACTCTATGTAACAGCTGATGTCAACTGCCAAGGATGCTATAAAAAAATTTAAAGAAACTAGGAAGCCAGTCCTATTTTAACTGTCTTTCTAACGTTTCATGTTCTGCAGTTCAGCAAGCAATTTGGGTACACAGGGAGTGTTACAGGCTGACCTCTACTGCTCACCCCCTTTCCACCAAGAAAACCAAGTACACAGACATTCAAATATGAGGGAACTGAGAAAAATCTCACTAATTAGGAATCCACTGCCGCTTTGTTTCTTCAAATCTTTACTGAGTCTCTACTATGCACCAGGTCCTGCTCTCGGTGCTGACATATGGCAGAGAACAAGACCGACCATCTCTGTTCCTATGAGGCTTACGTCCCAGGTACCATCATGCAGGGGAAGGAAGGAAGAGAAGTCAAGAGAAGATAAGAGCAAATAAAAAGGTATTTTCACACAGCAATATATGCCACAAAGAAAGCAGAAAGGGTGCTGTGGAAGCGTAAGGGAAGGCGTGATGATTCACATGAGGAAAATGACAGCACATAGCTGCAGAAGAGATGGCTGCTGGAGGAAACCTGAACATGACAGTGCCTGCCATGCAGAGCTCAGGCGCGACGAGGACCCGGCTCCCCCTAAGCCAGCTCTTAAGGAGTTACAAAAATGTCAACTGAGCCGGGAGTGCTGGTACATGCCAGGAGGGTAAGGCAAGAGGCTCAGGATCTTGAGCCAAGCCTTGGAATTTAGCCAGAAAAAAATTAAAAAGGCCAGCATGGAGCTCAGTCTGAAGGCCAGGGGTTCAATGCCCAGTACCATTAAAAAAAAAAAAAAAAAAAAAAAACAACGTCGCTTTTTAAATTGATTCTTGAAAAATGTAAGTATTTTTCATAAAATATCTTATCATGTAATGAATTTAGCTGCAACTTTCCCATGCATCAGTAAAATACCTTTTTAAATTTCAGGTTTTAATTTAAAATACAACAAAAGCTGAGCACAGTGGTATATGCCTGTAATCCCAGAACTCAGGAAGCTGAGGCAGGAGGATCACTGCAAATGTGAGACCAGCCTGGGTTACAAAATGAGCTCAAGGCCAGCCTGAACTGCATAGCAAGACCCTGTCTCAAGAAGACAAAAACTAAATAAATACAATAAAATACAAAAAAATCAGTAACTATAACCCATACAAACAAAAAACTCTTCGGATCCTCAATAATTTTTAAAAGCTTAAAAATGTCAAGATCTAAAACTGTCCTGGGAAGAACCCAAACAGTGGAAGCCATGCCATAGCTCATCTTTAGGGAGTCAGGTTTTGTGTCTCCCTGTGTTTATATTTCTGTTGTCACAGCAGCTTTCCTGGTAGCCCGAGTCACACCTAGTGACTTTCCCAGAGAGCGCTCTCTTCTCCGGCCCTCACCTCTTCTTTCTCTAATTTTGCATGCTTGCGCTCTGCGGCTGCATTTTTCTTCTTATTAAAATTGAATTGTGCATCCTCCTCGGCCTTTTGTAACTTTCTTTTCTTTTCTTCGTACTCTCCCACAAGCTCTCCTGAAGTGCTGATAGCCTCGAAAAACTGGGTTCTTTCTTTGGGTTTTTTCATGGAAATCGACTCCACAGCCCCCTATTAAAAACAAGAATGGACAACATATAAAATATGACGACGCATTTTCAAAGTTATGAATTGGATAAAGCACCGCAGCCACTCACTTGAAACACGAGGCAATTCCGCGCTCTGCCTATGATGCCTATCTTCTCCAACTCCGCCACGTAGGCAGAGCGTGTCACAAGGTTATCACCAAAGCGGAATTCTGAGCATCCTCCTGAAAGGGCATAATGCAGAGTGCTGCGGAGAGTGTCTTACTGGAATGGCAGATATGCAACAAGATACCTACTAATACGTGTGTTTCATCGGTTAACAACACGGTCTGTGAAACACCAAGGACGCTTCTCTGGTGGGAAAAACAACAGAGGAAAGTCTCTACTCTCCAAGAGATTACACCCCACTCCAGGAGACAAACGAGTACGAAGAATGCAAGTGAACAGGCCGAGAGGAAGTAGTAAGTGCTTACTAAGGCAGACCTGGGAAGGCAGAGGCACAGAACACTTGTGCACAGCAGAAAAGGCACCGAGATGCAACACGGCAGGCCAGGGAACCCACCCCGACATGGTTCTGTGTGAGTTACAGATCCCAGCGAAGGCCCTTAGCTGTGGCTCCTTGGAAAGTTGAGGTAGTTTGAGGCCAGGCTGGGCAACACTGCAAGACTCCAGCTCAGTAACAAAAACTCCAAAAGAAAGAGGAACTATGCAATGAATATGCTCAGGTGCTAAAGAGGCCAAATCACCCACTAAGGGACAAGAATGTAATGATAAGTGTCCCTAAAATCCCGTGACTGAACTCAGGAAGGTTAACAAGCCTGCATTTATAAACTGAGAAAGTTCTGGAGAACAAGAATGAAAATAGCAACAATTTAAAACATCAAACCACACACCTAATATAGAGGCACGATAACATCCTAGCAAGGATTAAGAACTATATAAAGTTAATAATTAATACAAATTAAAACATTTCACTCAGAGTTGGTAGAAGAAAACTGTCCACTTGGGTGGCAGTGGTGCGCACCAGTAATCCCAGCACTCAGGAGGCTGAGGCAAGAGGATTGCCACAAACTGGGGACCAGCCAGGGCTATTCCGTGGGTTTGAGGCCAGCCTGAACTACGTAGCAAGACCTTGTTTCAAAAAATAAATAAGAGAAGAAACTGTCTATAAAGATAAAAATATGCATACAATCATTTCATCAGTGACAAAGGAGACAAGCCTCAAGAACCCCAAGAAGCATTTCCATGGCTTCTGTGAGTCCCTCTTGCATCTCAACCAAATAGCCACAAACAGAAATGCTAACAATAGGATACTTGAATTAATAAGTCTGCTTAAGGAAGGGTCTTCTTTTTTTCTTTCTTTTAAAAATATTTTTTGAGACAGGGTTTAAATGTAGTTCAGGCTGGCCTCCAACTTGCATCAATCCTCCTACCTCAGCCTTCCCGGTGCTGGGATTGCAGGCATGTGCCTGGCAGGAAGACTCTTAAGGGAGAATAAAACAGGTTCTGTCACTTGCTCTGAGGCAAAAAAAAAAAAGCTTCTAGTTCATTACATCAGTGGACTACAGTGAGCGCCTGATTTACTGGTATTTGAGTGGCAAACGTTCACAGGTGGACAGCGTAAGAGACACTTGCTTGGACTTACGTTGTCCTGGAACGGAATTCATTCCCAAGTCGGGGACTTACTAGTGTACTAGGTCCCACCCTTCCAACAAAGAAAGAGCAACCGGCTAGTCTTAAAACTTAAATGACTCCTGAGCAAAACCAACAAAGAAAATACCTCTGATAATCCGTGCGAACGTTTTCTCTTCTCCGCTCTCCTCCACATACACAATTTTTACGCTTGCAGAGGAAGAAACAGGTTTCCCGACATGCGCGCCATGAATCAGTTCCTGAATACTTTTCACCCTCAGGTTAGTTATTTTCTCTCCCATTACGAAGCTAAGTGCATCCATTACGTTAGATTTTCCTGGGGAAGAAAAGAGATTCACTCTTAATGATAAAGCCTCGCCCAGAGCCAGAGAAGCCAGGCTCTGATGCAGCAGAGGATGCAGCAGAGACTCGTCCTGCAAGTCCTGCCAGTGTTCCCGAAGCACACACAGGACTGAGAAGTCTCAGGTCAGTCACTTCTTTCTTCTCTGCAGCGACAGCACAGTCTGAAGAGACCTACATTCAAGGATGGAAACCCATGGCTCTCAGCCCCAGATGGAAACCATAACACCTAGTGCCACATAATCAAACTACACATCAAGGGAGCTGTGAATCCACGTGCACATGAAACAGGAGATTCACAATAGCCAATCAGAAAGAGCCTGGTCTCCGGAGGCAGGCACAATAAAGAAGCCTGCGCTGCTGTAACTGCGCAAGAGAAGGAAACTGGCATGCCCTGCCACTAGCCAATCCAGCTTGTATTCCTGTTCCTACCTTCCAAAGACAAACTGTCCTACCATGCTCAGTGGAATGATCATTCTATTTTATATTTTAAGGTGTTGCCGGGAGTGGTGTGCACGCCTGCAATCCCAGCACTCGGGAGGCTGAGGCAGGAGGATCACTGTGAGCTCAAGGCCACCCTGAACTGCAACAGCAAAATCCTGTCTCAGGAACAAAAAAACAAAAAAAGGTATTATCTGATTCTAGAATCTCAACTGAAAGCCAGTTAGACCTTTAAGCGAAATTTGTGTTAATTTTGTCCTTTGACTGCTCCAAGGAGCTTACAGTAGGTAACGTGGTCAGCACTTACTGAACCTGGTGACAGACCCTCTTTGCCTATTATTTTCCGTTCACAACAACCCTATGAAACAGGTATTTTCTTTGCATTTTACAAACAAAGAAGAGTTAGTAACACATTTTGGAGTGAAGCATCTGATTCCAAAACCTATGTTCCTTCCACTACATGTGGGACATTGCACAGTTATGAAGTGGATCAAATATGTCCCCAAAAGGCTCACAGGTTCACAAGCAGGGCTTTGCAAAGGTAATCAGATCACAGGTGGTGACACCAATACACCATGGACCGTTCAGGCTGAGTATGCTATCAGGAGGTGGCGTTGGCTGGAGCCTAACTGGAAGCATACATTCCTGTCTCTAGCCCTTCCTCTCCCTCTGGCTCAGTTTTTCCGCTGTCTGCTGCTGTGAGGTGAACAGCTTTTCACCGTGACATCTGTGCCCTACAACCAGGCAACCATGGGTTAAAACCTCTGAAATAAGACACTAAGATAAACCTGCCCTGGGGTGGGGGATTTAGCTCAGTGGTCTAAGGGGCTGCCAGGTAAGCACAAGGGGATTCAATGCCCCGGGACAAAAAAAAAACAACCAAAAATGCCTTTTTTTCTCTAGATTTTTTTGGGTGTTGTGTCACAGCAATGAAAAGATGACTCATAACCAGACTATAATAAATTATAAAAACAAATGAATACAAAATGCAAGAGAAGCACTTAGGAAAAGCAAGAGTAGATGGGGGCTGAGTGGACTCTACAGAGTATTATTCTGAACTAAATTTTAAAGGATAACGAGCAGTTTGGAGAGACAGGTGCTCAAGGTAAATACAGCATAGCTAAGAAAGGTTAATCCACTCTAGGTATAAAGGAGTGAAGGAAAACACTATTTTAGTAAGAAAGCAACTCTTTTTTTTTTTTTTTTTTTTTTTTTTTTGTCTTTTTGAGACAGGGTTTCGCTATGCAGTTCAGGCTGGCCTTGAGCTCACTTTGTAGCCCAGGCTGGTCTTGAAACAATCCTCCTGCCTCAGCCTCCCGAGTGCTGGGATTACAGGCATGAACCAACACAACCGGCTGCGAAGGCAACTAATTTCAACATGGGAAGAGAATTCAGAAGGTTGGAGATGATGAGAGAAAGCTGGGGAACTTACATAGGAATATGCTATATTAAAGACATTGAGCTTTGTGCTTAAGATTGTGTGAAGCCACCAAAGTGTTTTAGGAGCCACTTTTTCAAATATGTTTTATAAAGATTTCTCAGACTTCAATCCAACAGAGAAGTGGACACAGGACATAAAAGCCAATGCAGAGAAGAAAAAGGACCTTCATTGTCAAAAGTTGCTCAAAATTAACCAAAATGTGTTAGGGTAAACCAAGGTACTGTTGAGACCACCAAGACAGGCAAAGTTTAAGTGACATGCGAGGACTTTATTGCAGACCAGGTATCACCAGGCCAAGGGAAAAAAGACCACTAGCCCTGAGCAAGGGGCCAGAGCATGTTTTATAGAGGTGTTTAGGTAAGGAAGGAGGTTATCACTGAGAGGGGTATAAAATTTTGAGTCTCCACCTAGGAATGGTGGCACATGTTTGTAATCCCAAAATTCAGGAGGCTGATGCAGGAGGATCACTGCAAGTTCGAGAACAGCCTGGGCTACATACGAAGTGAGCTGGAGACCAGCCTGAACTGCATAGCAAGACACTGTCTTTAAAAAAAAAAAGGCAAAATAAAATAAAATTTGGGGTCTCTGAGGAGGGGTTAAGGCCAGCTGATAGGGCAGTGCTGGGCATGGGGCTAAGGCTGTGACAGCAGGCACAGCACGTGCCTTATGGTTTTTGGCAGAATCAGCTCTCTGCAGGCTGAGCTGTGGGGTAAGGGGCCAGCTCCCTGCTGACGCCTGTGCTCCCTGAGGTGTGAACACAGATGTGCTGGGGGAGTTTTCCGTCCTAGCTGGGCAAGGGTGTAGTCCAGAGAGCTGACACAGTGTGTAAGAGGAATGTAATCTAAACCTGTGCTGACTTCCAGTTCTCACCTGGCAATAGATCTAAAACTCTCTAAACACATTCTTTCGGTCAGGCAGGAGGAAAACACAGCCTCTTGTAGATTATATTGTAAAAGGATGTGTTTTCTGGTACATAAATTATAGCTCAATAAAACTGTTATATTGAAAATAACAAACCTAAAAATGTACTTCATGTGTTGTCTAACCCTGTTCACTGAAATGGTCCAGACTCTCATCCGAATGCCCTGAGTTCCTCCGGCTCCAGGTGGGGGTCTCTGACACCTGTCCGACTGATGGGAACCAGAGCTCACTGGAGAACCGGCTAATTCCAGTCTGAGGCAGAGAAAAGTGCAGACAATCCTGGGAACTAAGACATTGCCATCAACAAGCAAGCAAGCAAGTGTTCCAGTACTGACAAGGTCATGACCAAAGCACAGGCAGCAACTTGAAGGAGCAGCCGCAACTGAACAACAACTGTAACGGACTGAGACGCACTTCCACCAGTGAAAATCACAGAGGAGGGGCTGGGGATCTAGCTCAGTGGCATAAGCGCCCACCTTGCTAGCAGGCAGTCGTGAGTTCAATCCCTGGTACTGAAACACAGAGGAGAAGCCACTCATGCCACCTGAGGAACTCTTTAACATGTTCTTTGAAAATAGTAATTAAAAGAGGTAAGCATTTATCCTGTTCTTTCCAGTATGAACTGTATGTTGATTTAAAAACAGAGTTAACAAAGGAAACCTCTTTTTACTGTGAGGTATCATACAATGTAGAAAGCAAGACCAAATTAGAAAACTCAGTTGTGAAAACATTAACAAAGCGGTGATTCAGGCAAATTACTATCATTAAGGCAATCAGGTGCAGGGTGGGCAGACAAGCACCTGGGCCAGTGCCCACCAGCTGCCATCAGCCTCCCAGGGCACCCTAAGCAAAATGCAAGGACCACCTTTACCCCCCCCATCCCCTGATGCCCCCCAAAACACAATCAGGTGAATGGTCAATAGACATCATCTGGATAATGCCAAGAAAATATTGAACTTTATGGTCAGAAAGGAAAAAGTCTAACTAAATATAATCATGAAATCATCCCCAGCATCATGGATGATAAAACAATGTGATATAACACAAAATATACAATATGATGCGGTTGGCCAAAAACATTTAATTTGAACCCATCAGGTGCTTAGATATACTTTCTAGTTTACAGAACTAGAAGAGATACAGGAACAAACTAAATGATACCATAAGGAAGCAATCAGACACATCTAAACACTCTATAGGAAAATGCTGCCAATCTTTTCAACAAGTCAGAACTATAACTGAAAGCCATGTGGTAAAAATCAAGAGATTTAAAACATGGTGGTGCACGTCTGTCATCCCAGCATTCTGGGAGAATGAGGCAAGAGGATCACAAGTTTGAGCTCAGCCTGAGCAACTTAGAAAGGGGTGAGAGGTCTAGCTCAGTGTGAGCCAGTATGGGAGGAGGCTGAGAGAGGGGAGCGATGTAACCGACAGGCGCAACGTGTGCTTCTCAATTAGAAGACTGTCTGATTAACACTTGGAAGTCAGCTGAGGAAATCTGCGTCGGATGAAATGAAAACAGCTGCAGGTAATTCCTGGAGAAGATTTAAACTAGTAAACAAGTACGGTTAAGATTTCACCTTCATTTTCAAAATGTTTACACAGAAAAAATTCGTATAGGTATTTTCCCAAAGGATTATTTTCTAATTGCTTACAATGAATATATACTAACAATGGATATATACTAACAAATGTTTTTATAATAACAGTACATTTTAAAAACTTCAGTAGCCACTGTGAGTTATCTAAAATTGACTTTTAAAATAACATTTTTGTTCCTTAGAAAAGTAAACCAAATCATTTGTGTAGGAAATATAGGAAAAATATTACTTGAGAATCACACCAGCCAGAGAAATACACCATTAGTGAAAATAGATTTTCCATTCTGTCAAAATTTTCCTCATCTACCACAAAAATAAAATAAATATTGTTCTTTTTAGGAAAAAAATGAAGATGACTTTCATAGCAGCATGGCACACAGGTTTACAACTGGATAAGGCAGAAAGGGAAGTCAGCTAAGGGTGCTGCATTACTCCCTGGAGGAATCACAATTCTGACACAGAAGTGAAATTAGAGCAGAGCGAAGGATTGTGGTGAGAAACATGGATTTTATTGAGTGCACGGGGAAAACACTGGAGAATTTTAAATTGGGAAGTGCTTTGATTTACAGAATCACAGTTTTTTTTTTTTTTTTTTTTTCTTTTTAACGCTCTCTGTGGTTGTAATGAGGATGAATTACAGACAAAAGAAGATGGAAGCAGAAAGACCTGTACGGCCACATTAACGTCAAGCCACAGACTCAGCAGCTATGTTACAGCACTAGAAAGGAGCGAGAAGGAATCAGATTCAGTGTATGTCTCAGACACAGAGCCACAGAATTTACGCATGACTGGCTGAGGTGGGAGGAACGGAGCATAGGAAAACAAGAATCAAGAATTGCTCTTGGGCTTTTGGTTTGAATAAATGAGGAAATGGTGCCTCTTACTGAGCTAGTAAAGACTAGGAGAGAGCAGGCTTGTTTTTTGGCAAGGGATGGGAAGAGGAAACAAACCACTCTTCTTTTACTGTAAAGTTTTAAATATCTACTGGAAACAGGAAGCTAAGCATCTGCCTACTAATCTGGGGCACAGGAAAATGGACTAAGCTTGAGATGTAACTTTCCAAACCAGTCTCAGCGTTGTATTTGAAGCTGTAAGATTGGGTAGCACTTGGGAAAAGAAAAACAGAGGGCACGTTTGAGGGGTGCTCTAGTTTTTACAGTTGGGAGAGGGTCAAAGGTAGTCATGAGTTTGATCTCCAGTACCAAAAAGGAAAAAAAAAACCAAAAGATAAAGTCAATTCTTACAGTTGGGCAAGAAGCAATCAATACGTGAAGTGAAGCAGGGGTTAAGAAAGTCCAGGCAACAAAGTATTTCAGGAGGAAAGGACAAAGGTGACCTACTTTGCAACCTTAGGAGGCATTCCTTTGACCAATTTCTTTAAAAACATCTCCAGTATTTCACATTCTTCCGCCCAGTTTTGCTCCTCATAACATGGCTTTCCAACATCCTACTTTTCATCCTTAGCATGCTGTCTCTTTGCGATTGAACATAAGCTCTATAAAAAGCAGTGGTTTTTAACCTATTCTACCTATTCTACGTGTAAAACAGCCTAAAAAAGTTCATGGCACGCAATTACTTCTAGTGAAACACTGCTATCAGATCAATCAGGATGAAGACAGAACTGTCCTTTAGAAGATGAAACTCCCCTTTCAGTGGAGTTTTGGTCTAAGAACTAAGTCAAGAGGCACCAGAGATAAAAGGCTACAGTCAAGTACTCAGAGAGCTTAGCAATACTAATAAAAGTGTAGGGCAACAGTCTGAGGAGACAAGTGCGGCCCAAGGGACTTTTCTCTGAATATAACGTGTTCAAACTGTAAACAGAAAAGTTGGAACAATTTTAGTGAACACTGTACACTTATCACTACAGTTTACAACTGAACTACTTGCTTTCTGCAAGGAAGCCGTAAGTTTTAAAACTTAGTGTTATCAGAGCCATTTACTTATGCCAGTGAAAATTATCCAATCAGGGAGAAAAATCACAAAACAAAGATTTGCAGAGAGGACAGGACTACAGTAATGTGAAAACAGTACCGAGACTCAAGCACACTGTGGTACCTCCCCAGTAACATCTCTCATAGTTTAACCTTTTCCTTCTCAAAGTTAAATTCAAAGTCCTCCCTCTGGTTAAGCACTCATGCAATAGCATCTCAACCTTATATCTCACTGCTTCTTTGAATATACACTATGTTCTGGCCAGGATTGACGATCAACTGTTCCACAACAGACTTCACAAACCCCTGGGAAAACTATTTATGCTTTGATCCCAGCTCAAATCCCATACCCTCTTGAAAATTTTCCCTGATTCACATTTTCCTGTCCATATCTCTCCAAATCCAAAGTTTTTCCCCTTTGTTCATAATCTTATAAATTTGTAATTTGATTTTGTTTCAATTAGTGCGTTTTCTTACACAACCTGTACCTCAGAAACAGAAGGTACCTTACTCTATATACCCTTTTGTGCTACACACACACACACACACACACACACACACACACAAGCTGAATCTAACCAAATGGAAACATGAAAGTTATGGTTAAAATCAAAAGTTTTCCTCTACCCACAAAAAACAAATAAACAGGAACATGTCAAGTCTGGGCAGGCGATAATAACAAAACACATTTAAAAAATGAATGACCAAGTCACATGTGGTGGATCACGCCTGCAATCCCAGCCCTCAGGAGGCTGAGGCAGGAGGATTGTGCAAGTTCAAGGCCAGCCTGGGTTACATAGTGAGTCCAAGGCCAGCGTGAACTGCATAGCAAGAACCAGTCTCAAAACAAAACAGAATCCCAACTAAATTAAAGTAATAGTAAATACTTTAATACCAATGTATAAAGCTGATTAGCAAAATACCTGAATTTATATGAATTTTATCTGTACAAAATTTATCTAAATGTACCAGTAATTCTATGAAATTAAATTATGGTAAGTATCATATTGAATCTTGGACTTCACATAGCAAGAATATCAACAGTCTAGACAAAATCTAGAAATAAGCCACGTGTGATGGCACATGCCTGTAATCCCAGCACGTGGCAGAGCAAAGTCAGGAGGATCTCAGCAAGTCTGAGGTCAACCCGAACAATTAATGAGACCTCTTCTCGAAAAACAAATATATAGGGGCTGGGGGTTTAGCTCAGCGGCATAAGCACCTGCCTTGCAAGCAGGCGGTCGTGAGTTCGATCCCCGGTACCAATAAAAATGAAAAAGACAAAAAAAAAAAAAAAAAGAAAAACAAATATATAATCCAGAAATTTTGTTGTGGATAAATGGTAAATAAGCCAAAGCTAAAGTAAAGCATGACCTGTTTTATGTAGTTTCAAGTAGTCTCTAAAGGGAACTTGAGCTTCCAGGGCATGCAGGTGCCAGCAGAGTCAGAAGAATTTGTAAAGAGCTTCTCAAAATAAACCTACAATGTTTTTAATCAAAATGTTTTCAATACTGGGCCTTGGACATGCCAGGCAAGTGGTCTACCATTGAGATTTACCCCCACTTTCAATAGGTACTGTACTTTGGTTTTTGTTTTTTGATACAGTTTTTTTGAGCGGGGCTTGGGCTGCAGTGCATGCAGGCTGACCTTGAGCTCTCCATGTAGCCTAGGCTGGCCTCAAACTCTCCTTAATTCTCCTGCCTCAGTCCTGACTGCTGGAATTTCAGGTGCACAGCACTATGCCCACCTTGCAGTACGTACTTTTAAATTAAAATGAAATTTTCGTAAACTTAAGTATGGCATCCGTTTAAAAAAATGTTCCAAACATGATTTTAATGGTAATAGGCATATAGTTTAGGCAGACAGGAGTTCAGACTTTGTGTGGCCACTTACTCTAAGCATCCCAATTAGATTTACAAAATACAACTAGGCGACCTTTACCTAATCAGCTAGAAGGTGAAAATAACTGGTAATGGGACCAGTGATTTTTTGGTACATGAGTCAGGAAAGTCAGAGTGAAAATGCAAGAGCTTTTAAAATCATGATTATCTCTTCAGTGCCTTCTTGATAACAGAATGGGAAAGGAAAACACTGAGCAGCAATTACTCCTGTAAGGCACTAGAAACTTCACACAGGTTCCACAATTATACCCTAAATTTGTGCGCCAAGAGAACACTTAAAAATTCATGTTCTATTCATAGCTGTCAGCGACTGGTACGGCAGCAGTTAATTTCCAACTCGAGACCCAAAAAGGAAAGCTGAGAGCCGAAAGGGCAGGCGCGGAAGCTCCCGAGGTGACCAGGGCTCCAGGAACGCTGTGGGCCCCAACTCCGCAGCCTCAGGGCCAGCAGGGCGGCCAGGCCCGGCAGGCCCCGGCCTCGCCTGAGCTCCGCGTCCCCAGCGGCACGGGAAGGAAGCCCGCGAGGTTTCCAGGAGCTGCCGCTGCCCGGGGACTCGCACGGGTCCATCCAGAGGGCGTCGGCACCGCGGCCCCGAGCCACCGCTTCCCTGGGGTCAGCAGCCCGCCCTCTACTTGTGGGGTGCCTAGGACTGGGGGGCGGGCTCCAAGCCCAGGAGGAGCCAGGGCACAGGACAGGGCCAGGCTGGGGACCCGCGACCCAGAGGAAGGCTGGGCCCAGGGGGAGGGGAGGGGGTCCCCAAGAGAAGTGGGACGGGGTCACCAGAGGCAGGAGGAAGGTGAGGGTCCCTGAGGTGGAGGGAGGAGGGTGAGTCCCCAAGAGGAAAGGGAGGGGTTGGGGTCACCAGAGAAAAGGGAATGGGGGTCCCCAATGCGGGGGTGGGGGGCACCAGAGGAGAAAGCGGCCGAGAGCGGGGTGGGCTTCGGTCTGAGGCGAAGGCCGCGGGAAAAGCCTCGGGCCGCGTCGCCAGGCCCCTGGCTTCACACCCCTCAGACCGGCGTCGCCCGCCTCGAACCCCGCGGCGGCGCCCGTTACCGGAGCCGTTGGGGCCGATGATGCACGTAAACCTCTTGAAGGGCCCGATAACCTGGCGGCCCCGCCAAGATTTGAAGTTTTCCACGAGCAGCAGGTCCAGGTAGCCCATCGCTGCGCTCGCGCCTCGCCTGCGTTCTCACGAGCTGGCTTGAAAAGCGCGGGAGAGGCACGCCAAGTCTCGGCCAAATCTCGCGAGATGACAGCGGACGCGAGTTTACGCCGTTGCTTAGCAACCAGAGTCGCGCGTTTAGCCGAGAGCGAGTCTTAGCTTCCTGCAGGTCCACTAAGTCACGGGCAGCCAACCTCCCTGGCCTGGGCTGCAGCTTGCTTTATTGTTTTGGGGTTTTTCTTCTTACCTTACTTGTTTTGAAAACCCTTTCGAACTTGGGGTCGCTTTCCAGAGCCATGAAGATAGCGTTGGCCAAGGACTTGGAGCAGGACGCTGCGCTGGCCAGGAGGTCACGGGCGGAGCTGTGCAGGCAGCAGCGGATCTTTAACGCCAGGAACAGGATCATCGGGGTGAGGCCGGGAGCCCGAGGAGAAGAGGAGGGGCGAGGGGGCGGTCTGCGGGAGAGACCCGAGGACAAAGTCTGGGATGAACCTCTGATATCAGGGAGAGTTGCACTAAACCGGGTTTTGCTGGGATGCACGGAGAAAGTTCTAAGGATTGTCTTTGCTGAAGTAAGAGAGCCTTAACAAGCCAAGTAGTGCACTTCTCGCCTGCCAGATAGCACGTGGGGGTGGGGGTGGGGAGTACGTGCCTGAGGCACGTAGAGGAGCTCCGATTTAAGCAGAACTCGGATTTTCAGTGCCTGAGGCAGATTGACTACAGTGCATTCAGTTGACAAATATCCACGGAGTTCCTGTTTGGTGGCAAGTCCCAGCCGGGACCAGAGGATGAGAGATCCCTGAGTTTACAGAGGTCATGGTCCAGTAGAGGAGGCAGGCATGGAAAGGCAGTGGGGTCCATGCTGTGAGGGAGAAGCACCTGACCACCTGCCAGCAGGGACTGGAACTGCGAGGGACAGAAGAGCATCTGTCACCTAAGAAAGGGGATGGGAGCTCTGGGGAAGGCAGAGGGCATAGACTGAAGAAGCAGCTTTAAGCAAAGGCATCCATAGGGAAAGACCCATGTGTGCACCTAAGACAGCTTGTTTACAGGAGGGCAAGACTAGCAAAATGAGGAGGATTATGGACTCTATAATGTGTGCTGGCCCTAACCACTCTTCTCCAATTTCCCCTTTTCAGGGAGACACACAAGCCTGGGATATTCAGGTTCATGACCAGAGGATAAAAGAAGCCACAGAAAAAGCTAGACAGGAAACCTTTGGTGAGGATTTCCTGAGCGCCTCTCTGTGGGTTCAGGACTGGGTGTCTTTAGGTTGCGGTCCTCATTTCTTTACAGTATATAAAAATATATTTGCAGAAAATTGTTGGGCTGGGATGTAGCAGAGTGGTAAAGTGCCCGCATAGCATGCATAAGGCTCTGGATTCAATCTCCAGCACTTGGAAAGAAGAGAGAGAGAGGAAGGAAGAGAGGCAGAGAAAGGGAGAGGAAGAGGGAAGGGAGTGAGCAGAGGACAGGGAAGGAGAGGGGGTCATTTTCATGCTTTTCCTCCTTTTAAAATTTTGTAATTTCTTGTTCTCAGTTAACTTAGCTCTCGTGGTGCAGATCAGAGCTCTTCTTCTCTTAAAAGAAAAACAGCTATTGAATTCTAATATAGGTCATGGGAGATACATTTATGGATAAATTATGTTTCCCTCTGTTTTCTTTAAAAACTGGAAAAGCCTTAAGCACACATGGACACATGTCTACACCAAATGACACACAGACGCCAGCGTCCCCAACCCTAAGTCGGTGCACCGATAGCATGGTGCTGTGGGTCTTAGATCAGAATTTAAAACAATTTCCTGCCTTTTATGTCCCAAATAATAGTGAAAGATCCTGTTTCCCCACACACTCACTAACAGATCCTGCTGTTAGCATTGAGGTATTTTACCTCCAGTTCACAGGACGTTTCCCATCTTGCAAGATTAATCGTCCTTTCACAAGGTTATCAAATGCCCTTTGTCCGGTCCTCTGGTTGCCTGCCCACTTTCTGGTTAGGTTGTTTATGAATTTAAAATTGGATGTGTTCTTTGTATATTCAGCATAATAATTTTTTAATGGTTACATTACTTTTTTTGAAAGGTTATGGTACTTTAATAATCATTAGAATCATTTTAAAATTTGTCCTCTGAAGCATATGTGTGTTCTATGTCTCTTTTAGCTGCTGAATTGAAGCAAAATGACAAAACCGGGTGCATATTAGATGACCGGGAGAAGAGAGATAGGAAGTGTCTCTGCAAAGCTATCAATGACTTCCAACAGAACTGTCAGAATCCGGAATCGCGCCGAGAGTTCGATTTGTCTGACCCCCTAGCGCTTAAGAAAGAGCTTCCAGCCCGACAGTCAGACAGCGACATCCGGAACACAGTATCAGGGATGCAGAAGTTTATGGGCGAGGACCTGAATTTCCGGGAGAGGAAGAAATTCCAAGAAGAACAGATGAGGGAATGGTCCTTGCAGCAGCACAGGGAGTGGGAGAGGGCCCGTGCTGACCGAAAGTTTGCAGGTGATGAAAGAGAAGACATGGGCTGAGTGTGCTGGGTGCACACCTGTAATCCCAGCACTCGGGAGGCTGAGGCAGGAGGAGCCTTTCGAGCTTAAGACCAGCCTGGGCTAAAAAGTGAGCTCAAGGTCAGCCTGAACTGCATAGTGAGGCCCTGTCTTAGAAAAATCAAAAGAAAAAAGGAGAAGAGATGAATTGATTTTAATAGTCTCTTCAGTGAATCAATCCCCCAATTTTGGGATTTGTTTCAGGTTTGGTTTTTGTGTTTCTGGGTATTTCTGTCAGTTCTTCCGTGCACTGCCTTGGCATGTGAGGAAAGCGAGGAGTCAGAGCTCTCCACTCCTGCATTAGAAACACAGGAAATTCACAGTGTGTGGGAGGCAGCAGTTCAGTTCTCTGAGCACTGGTCCCTGCCTGCCTTATGCTCCCATTCTTCTGGGAAGAGGGACAGAGACACATGGGTGTCCCCATGTGCCACCCCCCCCAGTCTCCTGGGTGCTGGGGTAGGAAGTCACGTGACATCACCAGGCCCAGAGCACCTCTCGGGCCAAGGCTCTGAGCCCTAAAACAGCCCATCAAGTCTGGGGTACCAGTACCTGCCCCCCATCTGAGTGCCAGTTGCCTGCTCCCCTCTTGTGTCAGGAACATGGCAACATCCCTGCTCTCCTGGGGCGGGTCAGCGGGTGACAAAACAGAGGCAGAAGAGGGCGCCAGCGGGGGCAGCACCCCCTGTGCGCCCAGACCCTCTTCTCTGGTTGTCAGCTGCAGGCTCTCTGTTCAGCTCGTCTTCCTCCGGCTTCCTCTTCCCAGATCATCTCCTGTTGCCCTGAGCCCGCTCCTGCCAGGCTTCCGCCCTCCCTTCCACGGGGGCTGCCCTGGCCAACCTCACCAGGGGCCTCCAGGTCACCTAATCCAAGGTTGGCCTTCAGCCTTCACCTTGACCTGCTGACAGCAGACGGCGCTGGTCACTTCCTCCTCCATGAAATAGCCATGAGGTGTCCTGGACACCACCCCTGTGCCTGTCCTCTTCCTGCCCAGCTCTCATCCTCTGAGCCTTGGACGTTGGTGGTCCCAGGGCTCTCTGGGTCTGTCTTCGGTCATGACACTCATGCCTCAGGCTGCCACTTCCCAGCCCTGCCTGTGAGGTGGGACCCTCCCTGAGTCCTGATGCGTAAATGCGTCCAGCTTCTCTGCCCAGGGCCTCTCCTCCACACATCCGAGTCAGACAGTGCAGGGCCACGCTCCTCCCCCCGGCCTGAGCGTCCACGTGCCACAGTACGACGCCATTTTTGCAGTTGTCCCTCATCCCCACCTTGAGTCCGCCCGACTGCTTCCTCTCATGCCACCTCGTCCCCAGGACTCATCTCCGATGTGACCCGGCCTTGTCACCTCCACCCTTGCCACTCTGCACTAAGCTATCACTGTGTCCAGCTCCCCCATCGTCCCAGTGGCCCCTCGGTGATCCATCCTCCTTCCTCACCCCCTGGGGTCTCAGAGTGCAGTGGGGCAGTCCTGTGAGAGTGAGGTTAGAGCTTTGGCCCAGAGCTCTGCCGTCCCCTTCCACTTCACATATGAGGTCATTTCCAGGCCCTCGAAGTGTGGCCTGCAGTGCTCACGCCCCGCCCACCCTGCTCCCAGGATGTGCGTGTGCCAGGCGGCTCACAGCCAGCCTCGCTTCGGCCTCCAGGCCATTCACCCGCTGCTCCCTCTGCTTAGGGACATCTGTCTCCAGACGGCCACCTCGTTCCCTCCTCTCTTTCGTCAGGTATTGGCGACAATGCCACCTGGTCAGTGAGGGCCCCCCTGACCCACCTGGTTGAAATCCTGGGCCTCCCTCTCCCTCCCTGTCCCCTTCCTTGCTTGACTTCCAAAACAGCCTTTTGCTTATTTGGTTATTTGCCTGCTGACACTGGGTCTTGAGATGTTGTTTAGGCTGCTGTTGAACTCATGGGGTAGCCCAGGCTGACCCCGAGCTCCTGGCGGTCTCCGGTTACATCCAGAGGTCAGCGAAGGAGAAGGATCCCCATCTGCTCTGCCCCCCGCGGTGTGCTTAGCCCTGGGCACAAGGGTGAATGTCTCCGGCCAAGAGCCTTCGTCTCAGGCACGGTCCTGGCCTTGAGTGCCTCCTTGACGGCCCCCCACATTTCACGGCACAGTGGAAACTAAGCCGAGCCCCTCCTCTGGGCCTGCTCCCTCCCCGGAGCCTCACCACCCCCAGGAACCTGGGGGTCCCTTGATCTCCTGAATCTTCAACTCCTGTCCCGTTTCCCCACGTCTATCTTTTGGGCTTCTCCACATCCGTCTCATCAGCGTTGTGATTCAGCCTCCGCCTTTCTCACCCCGACAGACCACAGCCCACTGCTTTCTCGCCTTCTATATCCTTGCCTTCCCTTCCCCGGGATTCCGCTTAGCATTAGCATACCTGCGACCTCTGTCCTAGCTCGGTGCTCTCTGACAGCCTCTGTGGCACGAGGAATGAAATATGACACTGTCACGTGGCCCCCAGGGCTCTGCTCCCCGAGTCCCTGCCCACCCCTCCATCGATTCTTGCCACCCACCCACTTTGCTGTTCCAGCCATTTGGGCTTGTTCACTTCTAGATCCCACCAAATCCTGTCCACCGCAGAGCCTTCACCCCACCCTCGGAAACGTGAACATCATTTCCTAGAGGAACACTCTCATCCGTACTCCAGCTACCCGAGTCAGGCTGTAACAAGAGGTTAGGTGACAGTGGTGGATAACAGCTGGGAAGCAGACTGGCTGGGAAGTGGCTGCTGTGTCTGACTTCTCCATCCTCTTCCTCTTCCTCCTCCACCTCCTCATTACATCATATTGACCTGTCCAAGTCCTCCTGCTGTTCCACGCACATCCATATGATCTGGCACCCTTTCTTCTTTGTGACCTGTCTGGTCACTAAAAGCCCTTTTCCTGTGTTCCCATCACTCATTGCTCACTGTAAGAATGTAGCCACCTCCCGATGAGAGCTGTGATAGCAAGGTGCAGAGCACTGACCCACCCAGGACCACAGCAGACGTCGCCAACTCACTGTAGGCATTAGCAATCCATAGTGCGACCCTCAGCTCTCCCTTAGTGCTAAGGTCTGAGATCTGTGCTTGAATTACATCCTGTAACCCTCCTGCCCACCTTTGGAGGCAGGTGCTTGTTATTAGCTTCCTTGTCCACCCTACAAATGACACAGCAAGAGAACATGTAAACAGCCATGCTGCAACTGTTCGCACGCTCAGGAAGGTGCCCCGGCTGGGCACGCACATTGTGACTGGGGTTTGTGTCCTTGCAGAGGACCGCCACACACAGGCCAGACTGAAGTTTGATGAGACAGCCAGTCACCTGCAGAAGCTGGAAAGCACCACCAGGAAGGCTGTTTGTGCAGCTGTGAAAGAGTTCAACAAGCAACAGGTACACCCAACACACGCTTTGTGTGGGGGCGGGGATGAGCACGGCAACTCGCTGGGGACCCCAGACCACCCCCCCCCTGGGATCCTGAGCTCAGCCCACTCACTCAGTCACACCACCATCTGATGGGGCCCCTGACATAGCAGCAGGAGACCTGGCCTGGGCTGTCCCTTAGCTCGGAATCTGGGAGCAAAACCTGAAAAACACACCTTTGAATTGGAGAGGTTGGCTCACCTTCCTAACTCTTGGTTTCTCCTTCCAAAACATGAGGAATGCAACGTTCTCCAAGGCGGGCACTGCCCTGGCACCTGCTGCATTCAGTTCCTCACCAAGGATGGGGATGAGGACACCACGAGACTGACAGTGACAGTGACAGTGAGGGTGCAGCACTCAACCTTGTGCTGAGGTCCTTGTTCCTTTCAGAAATGAGAGCTTCTCTAGGCTCCCTTTCCAACAGCAGTTTTATTTCCTGGAGCTTGGCCTGGGGGTTAGTTTATCAGATTAAATGGTTAACTAGACATGTGGGCTCCAAAGGAGGCTCTGCAGGCCGGGTCCCCTGGACAACAGAAAGAAAATACCAGAATTCTGCTTCACGTTTATATTTCACAGCATCGCTCTTAATCCTTGTATCCGTGCGTATTTAGAAGGTACAGCCTATATTTACACCATAGTCAGGGCCACAGTGTGAGCTAAATATATGGGAGGCACAAGCTCAGAAATGTTCTGCGTCAAAGCAAGCAATTGAAAACACTGGCGAGGCTTCCGCAGAGACCAAAAAATGTAGGTTTTCAGCAGTGGGGAGGGGACGAGGTGGGCAAACTGCCAGCAACAGGGAGAACCCAAGGAAGAAACCATCCAGGGTCCCAAGTCGCCACCCAGGGAGCTGCAGGGGCTCTCGGGGAGTACCTCTTTGTTCCAGGCCCCCCAGCAAATTGGAGGCAGCACGGAACTCTTGACAGTTGACCCCCCATTGACTGATCATCCATCCATCCATGCCCTGTTCATTTAACAACTCAATAAATGTTGATTGTGCCTTTTCTCCTGGGCATTGGGATGGTGCTTGCTAAGTCCTGTTACCTCACTCATTGGTTGAATCATTCATCCTCTAGAATGTTCTGAGCACCTGCAGTGTGGTCAGTACGGTCAGCAGGGAAGGTGCCTGGGAGCCCCAGGCCTTGTTGAAGGCCACTTATTTCACAGGGGGCTGCTGTGGTATCGGGGTTTACGCGCAGGCTCTGGAGCCCAGCTGCTGGGTGCAGGCCCTTCTTTTAGCCTGGGGCAAGCCACTCCCAGCCTGAGTCCTGCAGAATCACAATAACAGGACCCACCTGTGTCTGTCAGCAGACAGCTAGCTCTTGCCTGAGCATACAAAGTTGATGTCCCACCATGCCCCAGGGTCTGTCGTGGGCTGGCTGGAAGAGAAGCATGGAGGACTCCAGCTCACGAACAGGAAGCAGCGTTTCCAGGCCTCACCCTGGTCCTCCCGGAAGTGCACAGCCTTCTCTGATTGCACTTCATTGGCCAACGTGAGTGCATGGCCACGCCCACCCCAAGGGCGCAGGAAGTTCAATTGTTCCAAGTGCCCAGAAAGCACCCTGGCTGGTGTCACAGTCAGCAGGGACACATGCCAGCCCTGCTCAGCAAATGGCTGCAAGCATTACACTGGGCAGAACACTCCAGCATTAGAAGGGCTTAACCCACACCAGGACGGAAAGTGACAGCCATTGTCCTCTGCTCTAGCAACAACTGCAGCGGTCATCATTGGTCACTCGGTCCCACAACCCTACCTGAGGCGGGACCCATGGAAATGAGCTGTGTCACCTGCTGTGTGCCACCGTGCAGCTGGCCTCCTGAGCACCGCCTTGGGCAGTACTCTGTCCCTCCTCCCTTCCACGGATGGTGGCTCCTCCCTCATCTGTCTCTGAGTCTCACTGAGAAGCAGCTGCGGCCCAGAGAGCGAAAGTGACGGTTGCTGCTTCTAGTTCTGGGAAACACACTGTTGGTGTTTTGATTGGCCTTGCATGAAATCTATGTGACATTTTTAGTAATATTGGCATTTTGACAGTACTGGTTCTCCCGGTCCAGAACAGGGGACCTCTTTCCATTTCCTGACGTCCTCTTCGGTCTCTTTATTCAGAGCATTCTAGTTACAGGGGTCTTGGCCTTCCTTGGTCAGATTGATTTCTAGGTATCTAATGTTCTTGAAGCTACTGTGAATGGAATTGTTTTCCTGACTTTGTTCTTGGCAAGCTCATTGCTGATGAACGGGAACTGTCTTGGCTTTTGTGTGTTGATTTTGTGTCCTGTTGCTTTGCTGAATTTAGTCTAAGAGTCTTCGGGAGGAGTCTGTGGGATCCTCTCTGTAAAGTCCTGTCATCTGCGAATGAGGGTAGCTTGAAGAAGATCTTCAAATCCTTTGTATTCCTTTATTTCCTGCTGGCTCTCACTAACACTCCTAGGGTCGCATTGAACAGGCATGGTTCAGATTTTAGGAGGAGTGCTTTGAAGCTTTCCCCATTTGGTCTGACGTTAGCTGTGCGTCTGTCATAAATGGCTTTTATCAGAAGATAAAGTCCTTCAGTGACAGGGAAGTAACTCCCGGCCTGTTAGATGTGCGAAGCTCCTACCTCAGGACACAAGAAGGGAGCCAAAGACAAAGGAGGTAAAGGGTGGGAGTTCATTGAGAGAGAGCTTCTGAGAAACAGGAGGGGTCCTGAAAGTGGGCTGCTGCTGAGGTTCTTCTTCAAGGGGATTTTATAGTGTCCTGGTTACTTTTCTCTCATTGCTGGGACAAAATACCTGATGCCCAAAATGAAGGAAGGAAAGGTTGATTTAGCTCACAGTTTGTGGAGGTTTCAGTCCATAATCAGCTGGCTCCAAGGCTGGGCGGCCTAGAACTGGAGGCAGAAGACAGCAAAGCAGCCAGAGCAAAAGTGGGGGAGCCTCTTTTCCTCCCTTAGGTTGTAGGGGGTACCCACCCCCCAGGACAGGTGTAGCACTCACCCCATCTCCATGCTCTCCTCTTGTTAGGAATGAGGATGTTTACAAAGTGAGGACCTTGGCCTCCTGTCGAGTCTCTTAATTAAACTTCTAAACTGCTCAAATTGACACAGTGTATCAACTTTAGGGGAAAATCACATCACAGGTGACCTGCCAGTGACCTGTAATCAGCTATGGGCTGACAAACACAGGCCCTCTGCTAATACTGATCCAACAGGCACGAGCCAGGTGTCAAGCCCTGAGAACAAAGGCATTCCGGAAGGGGCAGGACCAGGGTAGGGCGCCCTGGTCACCTGTCTGCGAGCCCGTTACACTGCTCAGGCTCAGGGGTCAGTGGTGCTGGTCACAGCCCAGCTCTGAGCTGCTGTCCATCTCTGGGGAGCCTTGCAGGCCCAGCCATCCTGTCCCCACCTTGGGGCCTCGTTTCTATCCACTCAGCCTTGACTCCAGGCCTGCTCTGCCTCACCTCTGCTCTGGCTGGACCTTGGGCCTGGGGCACTTGTAACCCTGTGTCGGTCTCTCCTAAACCCCTGCAATACTTCGATGCCTATTTTGGTCAGGTTTTTCCTTTATCCTGAGTGGCCGTTGGAGTGACTCACTCTCCGTAACCCAGGGATGTCTCAAGGTTCCTAGAGTCTCAGAAGGGGTACAGAGCCCTGTCCCAGGCCAGGCTGATGGGGCTGTGGGTCAATACCCCCCACGTACACACTTGCGGGCAGTGACCCCAGACCCAGCCACCTGCCCAGTGGTGCCCAGGCCACCCAGGGCAGCCTCCATGGGGCCCATCCAGCCTCTGCTGCCCGCAGACCTTCAGGGCAGGGCCTGGTGGGCTTTGGTGAGCCGTGTCCCCGAGAGTCACGCCAAGTGTCCTCCCTGACGTTTTCCCCCACGCAGGCCATGGAGTTGGCAGAACGGAGAAAACAGGAGAGAAGACAGGAGCAGGAGGACAACGTGGCCGAGATTGCCAACCTGCTGCGGGGGGACCTGCTCTCCGAGAACCCTCAGCAGGCGGCCAGCGCCCTCGGGCCGCACCGCATGATCCCCCACCGCTGGAAGGGCATGAGCCGGGAGCAGCTGGAGGGCATCCGCCTGGCCCAGAGGCAGCAGATCCAGGAGAAGCTGGTGCCTGGCCCCTCTCCTCCCCGCCCGCCCAGCTCCCTGCTGCTCTCCAATAGGGTTTTTGGTGGTGCAATGAAAGAGTATAAAGTAAAAACAGCCTGTACTCTAAGGACAGAGAGAGAGCTCCATGACACCGGGGCCTGGCTTTCTCTGCCGGGAACGAGGGCATGGGATAGGTATATAATTTCCGACTGGGTGGCGCTTAGGGCGGGCATTGCTGACTCATGAGCAGCCGACTGGAATTTTCTTCCAGTGCCAACAGGAGGGGGAGTTGTAATTGAGGCTGGGGAAGAGGCAGGAAGTGGGAGGCGTTCCGCTTTGGCCTTCAGCCTGGGTAGACCACCGCCATAATTTCTACTGAGGCAAGAACCTTTCATTCCCGTCTTTGTATTAGGAAAAGGGTGAAGTCTCTCTCTCTCTCATTACTTCCTGGAAGGGGAGTGCTGTATTGGGGTTTAGGAAGCTGATGGGATGACAGTTGATGCCCATGCAGAAGCTGGTGCCAGGTGTTTCAGCCAGGACAACTTCATCATTGGTGAATGCTTGCACGTTAGACTGGAGAACAAAGAGACAAGGTGCTGTGAGGACGCAGGCCACTGTCGTATTTAAGGACCCCGGGGAGGTAGAAGGAAAGGTGCCTTTGATTTAGATATGTAGAATCATTACCATGGTGAGGTAGAATTCTGAAAAATAAGTGTGGGGCTAGGATGAGTGAAGTTACGAGAGGTGATTATTCCCCATCTGGAAGGGTAAAGGTTATGAGTGTAGGTAGGTAGGACTGGTCTCTGGTCCAGGAGTTGAACTGGAAAGAATAAGAGGGCTGGGGAGATAAGAGCCCAGGCCTTTGGGGGTCTCACGTTTGACCAAACAGCTGAGGGTAGAGAGAACTAGGACAGTTGTCACGGAGAACAACATGAAGACGATCTTACGCATGATGTGGGACTCTTTAGGAAAGACTGTTAAGAGTCTTGCTGTAAAAAGGATAATTAATAGAATGTAAGAAATTAGGAACCAAATTGGATAGCAAAACATGACTTGGCCTTTGAGTTGCGGCTGTGAGGCTTTGGTGAGATGATACGAGATGAGATGACCACTCAGGCTGGTTAGATTCAGGGTTGGGAAGGCACCGCGTATCCTGAGCGATGTGGAACCAGGATGGCAGTCCAGTGACTTTGACCGCTGTAGGGGTTGCCACGAAGACCAGGTAGGGGCCGCTCCACCTTGGTTGTAGTCCTTGGGATGATTTGCTGTAACAGGACTTTAGTAAGTACATCAGCAGTCTCCCTGATTGTGGGAAAGGCTTTTATGTATCCTGAAAAAGTACACACAAAGGTGAGAATATATTTGAGAGTCCTGACCAGGGGTGTGTCCTCAAAATTGGTGAGTAAGAAAGGAAGGGGTGCTGTATGTCCCTGAGGAGGGGTCCTAGCACAGACGACAGGTGTGAGCAATCTGAAGAATGATAGCCTTTAGAGAGGGTGTGTGACTACCAAGGCTAAGAGTCTGTATAGGGCCTGTGATCCTATAAGGAAACAGTGATGCTGGCTAAGGCCTCCTGATCTGGGAGAACAAGTTTTGATCCCTGGAAAATCCATCCCTGAGTGTCTTGTGTGTAACCTGGTTTATGAAGTAGCTGTAGCTGCTCTAGTGAATAATTAGGCTGAGGTAGACTGTTTGGGACTAACGGGAGAAGATGAGAAGGATAGGGCCTTTGTGCAGTTAACTTGGCTTGTGAATCTGCAAAAGCATTGCCTTGAGCAATGGGATCTGCAGAATTCTGGTGTCCCCTACAGTGAATAAGTGCTGCCTGCTTTGGGAGTAGCTACCTCTAGGAGTTTAAAGAGATGCATTAATGATGGGGTTCCCTGAGAGTTAATAAAACCCCTTTCTTTATTTTTATTTAAAGAGAAAAAAAAAGAAAGGAAATAAAATAAAAAACAAAGCAGTAAAAAGGTACAAATAATACAGAATTTCAAGGAAGAAAATACAGTAAGATATCACTAGTTAATAGGTTACATATTGTCATCTTTGAAATAGTTGTCCAGATTATAAAATTAAAGCATGTAAAGTGAACATTCATACAATGAGATTGCAGACAGTGCCGATTACTGAACTTCTGTTGGATCATAAAACCTCTTTCTTACCAGATAGAGGCATGGGGGTATAACATGCTAAATGTATACTTTGAATCGGTGTATATATTTCTGACTTTGTCCTTTGCTAGTGTAAGAGCCCTTGTAAGGGCAATAAGTTCTGCCCTCTGGGAAGAGGTCCCAGGTGGCAGTGGATTTGCCTCTATAACGTTTGACTGGTTGACTATTGCATATCCTGCCTTTCTTTGGCTGTCTGTGTTTGTTGAACTGCCATCTATGAACCATGTGTCAAAGGCTAGAGAGAGAGGTGTGCTACTGATGTGAGGGAAAGGGGTGGGAATCATCTGTAAGACCTCAATATGGTCATGGTGAGGGTGGCCCTCTGAGGTGGGAAGTAAGGTGGCTATATTTAGAGGACCACTAGTTGCAACAGAGATGCAAAGGTCCTGAGAGAGGGCTAGCTGTACCTGTTGAAGGCGAGAAGGGGTCATCAGAGCAGGGAGTGGCTTATGTGAGATGAGCTCATTTAAGTGATGAGGTGAGTTACTGTAATAGACTGCCCTAATGTAAACTTCTTAGCTTCCTGTGTCAGGAGGGCTGCAGCCGCCAGGGCTTAGAGACAAACAGCCCATCCTTTTACTGTGTTATCTGTTTTGACAAGTAGGCTACTGCTTGAAAAGAAGGTCCCTTCTTGTGTCCTAGCACGCCTACAGCATTGTGGCCCTGAGAGATAGTGTACAGAGTGAAAGGTTGGGTGGGGTCAGGAAGGGTAAGGGCTGGAGCCCTTAGGACAGCCTCTTTAATTTATGAAAGGAGGCGTGTATGGGCATAATGGGGTCTAGGGGTTCTGATAAGGGGCCCTTAGAAGCCTTGTAGAGCGGTTGAGCTAGAGCTGCAAAGTTAGGAATCCAGAGACGAAAGAAATTAGCTAAACCTAGGAAAGATGTAACCTGCTGTTTAGTTGTGGGCACCTGGAGATCTTGAAGAATTGCCTTATGATCTGTGGCGATGGAACGAGTGCTGGGGGTGAGAGAGAGACCTAGGTATTTGACTTTTGGGGAAGCTATTTGGGCTTTAGCAGGAGAGATCCTGTACACACAACTGGCAAGAACATTAAGGAGACTAGCTGAATGCTGTATGGCTAACGTGTGGGATGGAGAACCTCAGAGAAGGTCATCTATGTATGGAAGGAGAGTGCTAGGTTTGAGATCAAGTTCTGCAAGGTCAGCAGCAAGAGCTGGCTAAAGAGGTGGGGACTATCCCTGAACCCCTGGGGGAGCACAGTCCAAGTAAGTTGTTGAGACCTGAGAGTGTCTGGATCACTCCATGTAAAGGCAGAGATCCTGACACTCAGGGTGTAGGGGGATGGTAAAAAAGGCATCTTTAAGATCTACAACTGTAAAGTGAGTGGTGGAGGGAGGGATATGAGAGAGCACGGCATAAGGGTTTGTCACCACTGGGGGCCTGGGGTAACAGCACTACTGATTACCCTCAGGTCCTGCACTAAACGATAAGGCCCATCAGGCTTGAGTACCAGGAGAGTGGGTGTATTACAGGATGAATGGGTAGGCTTAAGAAAACATAGGATTAAGTCCCTGTAAATGTTTGGGGGCCATGGGATATTGGGGAACACAAGGGAAAATTGAAGGATCCCTGAGATGAATTAGAATAGGCGTGGCATGAGTAGTAAGGGTGGGACTGGAGGTGTCCCAAACTACGGGATGGACCAGAGAGAAGGGAGGGAGGGGATGGCTCTGGGCGCACTGCGAGGGTGGCTGGAGGACTGGAGCTGCGGGGAGGGAGAAGGTAAAGGAGAGGTTCAGCTTTTGAAGGAGATCTCTACCTACAAGGGGTGTGGGCCATGTTACTAGGAAGCTATGGGTAAAGAGGAGAGTCTGGAATCTGCATGGAAGAGGCCCTGTCTGCAGAGGCTGCATAAGTTGGCCATCAACACCCACTACAGAGATTGAGGACTTAATACAAGGGCCTGAAAACTCGGGAAGAACACTGTAAGTCCCACCTGTGTCTACAAGCACGGTGTCGTACCTGAGACCTCCAGTGAGACTCAGGGCTCCGAGAAGGACACCTTAATGGGGGCTGTGGGCCCCGAGCCCCATCAGTCTTCAGCAGCAAGTCCGAGTAGATCAGTCAGCAATGAATCTGGTGGTGATGGAGTCTCCTGTGAGGGTTAGGAGTTAGAGGATGGCTTACCTGCTCTCTGGCGGCTAGGACAGTCGCTCTTCCAGTGACCCTTGGGAGTGCAAAAGGGGCAAGCCCCCCCCTGAGGGAACGCCAGGATTGGGGCGCGCTCTTGTCCAATGTCCTTCTTTACTGCACTTGAAGCATTGTCCAGGAGGGGCTTGGGCAGCCCCACCTTGTTGTGGCTTTCCTGTCTTGGGAGCCCCAAGTGCCACTGCTAAGAGATCAGACTGATAGTTAGCAAATTTCTTTTTTGTGCCTTTTTTTTCCCTTTTTGAGTTTTTTTCTCTGTTGTTGAAAACACAGAAAGCTAAATTAGAAGGTGTCCTAGTGGGCTCTGAGGGCCTTGTTCAGCCTTTTGTAACTTTGCACAAATATCAGGAGCAGACTGAGAAATAAAATAAGAGTTAACAACAATCACCCCTTCAGGAGAGTCTGGGTTTACATTAGTAAACTTAAGGTGTCCCTGAGCCGATTCAGGAACACAGCTGGATTTTCACTAGCCTCCTGGGCCTGTTCTAAAAGTTTGTTATAGTTAGTATGTTTGTGAGCATTTTTATTAAGGCCCACAATTAGACACTGAATCGTCTCACGCATTTTATGACAACCTTCCCCATTTTGATAGTTCCAGTGAGGATCTTGTTCTGGGCACCGCAGTAGGCCCAGGGTCATTCTCAGCGGGTTTTGCCGTATGTCTGTGATTGGCTTCTTCTCGAGCTGCTTGCCACAGCTGAGTTGCTCTTGTGAGCTGAGGGTGAAGTTTAGAATCACATAAATATCCTTGAAATGTAAATCATAACAGTTACAAATTCAAATTCTGTGATACAATTCTGTGGGTCAGCAGAGAAGCCACCTAATTTATGGTTAATCAGAGATAAGTCAGAAATGGAGAAAGGCACACGTACATTAACAAGTCCCTGGGGGCCAGCCTGTCTCGAGGTGGGAGCAGAGACTGAGGTAGCGCAGACTGTGGAGTAGATGGCCACGGAGTGACCAGGAAGTGGGTCGCAGTCAGGGTGCCGCTGGGTGGGGTGGCCACGGGGAAGCGGAGGAGGGAGGGGGACACAGCGAGGGCGGGGTCCCCTGAGTGGGGTCTCTGTCCAGTACCATCAGCTGCCCCAGCCCCTGCGTTTCATCCGGGACCCCTGCCCCGACCTCCCCCGCCCAGCCGGCCTCGGTGTTCAAGTCTCCTCTGTCCACGCAGCGGCTGCAGGAGGAAGCGCGCCAGCGGGACCTGGACTGGGACCGGCGGCGGGTGCAGCAGGCTCGCGTGGAGCTGCTGGGTGAGCGGCAGCGGCGGCGGGAGCAGAGCGAGCAGCGCAGGGCCCTGGACCGCAGCAACCTCAGCCTGGCCGCCCAGCAGCGACTGCAGTGAGTGGGGCGGCGGGGGGCGGGTGGGGGGCACACAGGGGCAGCACACCAGGAAGAGGGTTCTGGGGCTTCTTCCCTTCAAAAGAAAAGAGTATTTAGGATGCATGTGTGTTTGCCAATCATTTTTTCTCTCTTTTGTTATTAGGAAAAAACACATGGATGAACTCTGTGCAAATCAACCCACGGGAGATTATTTTGCTCAATTTAATACACAAAGTCGATAATGCAAATGACGCCCTTGGTTTATGAATAAAGTGTGGCCACCTCGAAGTGTCTCCTGCCCCTTCCTTTCCTTTTTTGCCTCCTTTCTTCTGAAAAGATGCGTTCCTTGGTCCCCAAGTGCCCTCCCGGCTTCATTGTCCGCGTGGGCAAGTCAAGGGGAGCCTCTGCCCGTGACTCTGTCCTGCCGGATCTGTGAAGCTCAGCCCCCAAGGGACCATCCTGGAGAGACGTGGCACCGTGGGTGGACCCAGGTGCCATTTGGACTCCCAAGAACTGTGTGGCTGGAGCCGCTAACCAAGTGCAAACTCTGCCCACACCACTGTGGAGACCGTTCTAACAACACTCCACAGAAAGCTAACTGCACTGGCGGGGTGAACCCTGGAAGGCCGAGGCAGGAGGATTGCAAATTCAAGCCCAACCGGGGCCATTTACTGAGACCCTGTATCAGAAAACAAGAAAGCAGGTGGGCTGGGGATGGAGCTGTCAAAGGCCCTGGTTCAATCCCCAGTACTGAGAAAACTTTTTAAAATTAATCAGTTTGATTCTCAGGACTGCCAGTAGTCTCAACCACCCACGTTGTCTAGCTGGAGAACCTAAGTAGGGACACACAGAACGACCTGTCCCCATGCTCACTGCTAGGAAGTGGCGGAGCCCGGGGTCTGCCCTCCAAGCCACTCTACTCTCTAGACTCGGCTTAGGCAACCTTGGCTTCAACCAAGTGCAGGTTTGTATTTTCTGCTCTCTGGAAACTGCAGGTCCACCCCCCACCACAAGGGGTGCCTCACCTGGGGGGGCCCAAACCCGCCCTCCTGCAGCACCCTGCGGCTCCGCCCCTCAGGGACAGGGGGCAGTGAGGTCTACGATGACCCCGGTGCCACCACTGCTCCCAGCGACTGGGGCTTTGTCTCCTTAGGGAAGAAAGCAGGGAAAGCCACGCTGTTTTCGAAGGCTGAGGTCGCCAGAGTGGTTAGCCGTGGCTTTGGGCAGGTGCGGAGAGGCCCCCAGGCCGGTCCCTTTGCAGCCCTGCCTGGGCCAGAGTTAGTGGTCACATGCAGGTGACCAGGCCATCTGGACTCTCTGGGCTCAGCCACACCGTGGCCAAGGCTCAGCTTCCTGCAGGTGTCCCCAGGGCTGTCTGCTCAACCTCTTTGAGAAGCTGCCTGCGTGTGTGCAGCCAGGGGACCCTGTCGGAGAGTCCCACGCCCTGTGAACTGCACCAACCTCGGTGGACCAGCCTTCTCCTCCGTCAGGCCTTGGAGCAAGGTGGAATTCTGCTGTAACATTTGTCAAGATGTTGCTAAAGGTCCCAGGAAGCCAAGGACTCACATCCTAGAAGAGATCAGAGGCCCAGAGCCTCTTCCTGAGGCCACCTCTGCCCTGCACTCCACCTGGCTGGGCACAAGCGCAAGAGCCCCCACCTGCCACCCAGGTGCCCACTGCGGAGCCTAGGGCCCTGGAACTTTGTTTCCCTAGCAGAGGCAGCGTATTCCCAGAGGAACGGGAATGGTTCCTATCTGGGACAGGGCCATGGGTTGCATATTTATTCCTTAGGGCAACTGAATAACACAGGGCCACTGCTGGCTTCCACAGCAAACAGGCACGGAGGAGCACGGCACAGCAGAAGTCTGGGGTTGCAAGTCTGGGGTCAGGGCTCGGCAAGCCGGTTCCTGGAGATGGAGGGAGAGGTGACTGTGACAGGGGTTTGCTGCTGACTCGGGGTTTCTTGGCTTGTGCCCCTCCCCCTCCCCACCTCTACCCTCCTGTTCGCCTGATCATCCCTCGGCAAGAGTGTCCCCGTATCCTTACCCTAAAAACGCCAGTTGTCCAGGGTCCACTGTAAATGAGGCAGGATAAAAGAAAGGTACGAAGGAGACAAGAAAACCATAACTAAAGAATTTGACTTTTAAGATGATGACACCTTGCAGGAACCAGCCAAAGTTACCCAAGGCAGCCTGCACCAGTGTTCTTTGCTTAAATTTAGGCTCAGCTCAGCAGCATAACAAGGGCCTAGCAAGTGCAAGGACCTGAGTTCAATTCCCGGAACCAAACCAAACCAAAATAACAACAAAAGAAACTCCTTCCCTACCAGCCCATCCCAGTGAAAATTCCTGGAACGGTCCAAACCTGTACATTGGCTTCATGGAGAAAATAAAGAAGATTGAGGGAACCCTAAGAATGTTCAAATTACCTGTTTTGTTTTGTGGATTTTTTAAAGGCCCAATATTGTTTGGGGGGCATCTTTTCAGGGCTCATACAAATGTTTCCATTTCCACAGTGCAGCCTGCCTCATTTCTCTCAGTGTGTCCTAGACCCCAAGTAAACCCTCCCAGAGCATCTTTCTGATGAGTCCTGAAAATCCTTTTTCTGCAGTGGAAGTCAGGCTACAAATGGGGGTGGTGTCCTTGTTTCAGCCTTAGGGACCCCCAGACACAGCCAGGGACACAGTCGCTACCTCTGTAACAGCCCCATTTCCTGGAAAGGTTGCATGCTGGGGTCCTGGGGGTTAGGGCTGCAATGCATTTTAGGGGACGCACAGAGGGGCGCCTGGTTCCATTATCCCAGCAGAGAGGCCTCAGGAACGCGGGTGCCTGCGAGGCTCCTACTTTTGAGGAGGGAGGTGTAGGGAGAAGTGGGGGTGATTTCCACTCCTTGAGCAGCGGCCCCCTCGTGTCCAGGATCTCCTGCCAGGATGCACCATGGTCTTAGTGGGACACAGGGGACAGAAGTAGGACCCTCCCTGAAAAGGAGTCGGAGTGGAGTCCTGGGCGAGTACTGGCCACCAAGCCACAGGTGTAGGGAGCTCTGCAGCGCCCCGTAGGGCACTGTATCTTCTGGACCCTGCGCTTACCCTGGAGAGAAACCCGCTCTGCCTCTGAATTTTGCACTGTTATGAAAAATCCAACAGAGGGCCTGGGCGGAAAGCCTTAGGTCTTTGCTTTACTATGGGCTTGCTTCACGGGAGCCCTCTGCTGACAGCTGTGAGCACAGCGCATTCCTTGAGGTTCTCCTGGCCGGAAAATTGGGTTTCTAAACTGCAGAGCTTGGGCCGGCGCTGTGCAGGGCAGGTGATTGTGACACCTGCACTGCGGGATGCTCTGACCCCTCCCTGCCCGGAGAAAGCAGGCAGGAAGCGGCTGGAGGTTTTCTCAGCTGGGTGACAGAGCAGGGCAGGCGGCCTCCTCCTTACCCTCTGCATGGCCTGCTGGGTTTTACACACACTGCAACTCGCTCTTAACTTTACCCCCAATATTTTAGTACAAAAACTTTTAAGCGTGCAGAAAGGCTGCTTGTGTAGCATACCCTACAACCCACGGTCTACAGTTAATATTTTGCGATACAGTATATTGCTTCCTTGCCTGCTGCTTTTAGACTGGCATTTTATTTATTGTTTTGTTTTCTTGAGACAGGGTCTCGCCATGCAGTTCAGGCTGGCCTTGAGCTCACTGTGTAGCCCAAGCTGGTCTTGAACGTGCAGTGGTCCTCCTGCCTCAGCCTCCCGAGTGCTGGGATTACAGGGGTGCACAGCCATGCCCAGCTACAGCCTTCTATTCTCAGTTGCCCAATGTGGAAGCAATCAAGGTGCCCTTCTTCAGTAGGTGAACAAACCGTGGTCCCCTCAGACCCTAGAACTCAGTGGTGGTGACCCCTGGCATTCGAGCTGCCACAGGCTCTCTGCTAGCGTTGGAAGCTCTAATGTGTGACCCCGGACTTAAAAGAAAAGACCTGGGGGAAATAAAAATGCGTCTCACTAAAGGAAAGAAGCCAAACTCAGGAGGCCGATGGCTTCCAGCTGTGGGACATTCTGGAAATCAAGCAAGGGCCGGAGGGAGAGGAGGAGCAGACAGCGCCCAGGGGGTTTTGTTTTGTACCAGGGATGGAACTCTAGACCTCTCGATCCTCCAGGGGGCTTTTAGGGTGGGAAACTCTTCTGCCTGGCGCTACAGGAGAAGCCACAACTCACACCACTTGCCTCCAGGCCCACAGAAAGTCTGCCCCCGGGAGGGAGCTGTGTTGTCAGCTATGAGCCAGTGCCACGTAAAACATCAGTGATAACACGTGACACTAGTGGGGGCACAGGCTGGGTGTGGGGAGGGAGGGCATGGGAGCTCTGCTCCTTCCCTGCAAGGATTCTATAAACCTAACCATACTCTTAAAACATACAGTTTACTAATTTTTAAAAAGCCATGTGAGGCTGAGGCAGGAGGATCACGTGAGTTCGAGGCCAGCCAGGGCTCCATAGCAAGATCCTGTCTCAAAATCTCAAAAGACATGTGAGTCTTCATCTTCATTCTGAGTTCAAATTCTAATGTTCAAAATAACGGGGAGCAGCGCTCAAAAATGAAGGATTTACCCTGGGCTACCTGGAAGATTCTCTCGGCTTCCCCAGACTGTTTGCTTGAGCGACTCTGTGATCCCCGGTTCTTTAGCCTCCTAATTATACAGCGGTGGATGTGCACCAGGTAACTACAGGGCTCAGCATCCCGGGGCCTGAGGGTACAATCCTAGAGCTGACCTTCCTAATTCCCTCCCTGAGTAACTTCTGGTGTTTACCGGCTGCCTGGTTAGGGAAAAGGCAGCCTCTCTGATGTCTTGCTAGATCCATGAGATAAGCAGGTAGCTATTTATGACCTGCTTTTACAGATAAGGAGGTCAAAGTTTAGCGGGACACCAGGGTGTCACAGACTACAGGAGGCCGGGGATTCAGAGTGGTCACCTACCTCCCCCCCATGTGCCCACCCGGGGAGGCCCTGCCCTGGGCACATGGCCTGACCCAGCCTAGTGCAGCTGATGAGGGAGCAGAGGAATGAGCCTGGCCCTGCAAGGACTGCACTTGTGTCGCCTTCCAAGTCGCAGTGCACTCAGCCTTCGGGGGCTCTGGCCCAGACCCTGGCAGGAGCCACCAGGACAGCGCTGTCCTTGTAATGACCCTCAGAAGCCAGGCTACCCGATGGTGGCCCAGGAGGAGGGGCGGTCACGTCCACACACCAAGGACAGCACGACACCAGGACAGAGAACGGCAGCCAGAAAGCAGAGTATGGCGGGGGGGC